CCCAGGGCCCCCCCCCCCCCCCCCCCCCCGCCCCCCCCCCCCCCCCCCCCCCTCCCCCCCCCCCCCCCCCCCCCCCCCCCCCGCCCCCCCCCCCCCCCCCCCCCCCCCCCCCCCCCCCCCCCCTCCCCCCCCCCCCCCCCCCCCCCCCCCCCCCCCCCCCCCCCCCCCCCCCCCCCCCCCCCCCCCCCCCCCCCCCCCCCCCCCCCCCCCCCCCCCCCCCCCCCCCAGCCACCCCCCCCCCCCCCCCCCCCCCCCCCCCCCCCCCCCCCCCCCCCCCCCCCCCCCCCCCCCCCCCCCCCCCCCCCCCCCCCCCCCCCCCCCCCCCCCCCCCCCCCCCCCCCCCCCCCCCCCCCCCCCCCCCCCCCCCCCCCCCCCCCCCCCCCCCCGCCCCCCCCCCCCCCCCCCCCCCCCCCCCCCCCCCCCCCCCCCCCCCCCCCCCGCCCGCCCCCCCCCCCCCCCCCCCCCCCCCCCCCCCCCCCCCCCCCCCCCCCCCCCCCCCCCCCCCCCCCCCCGCCCCCCCCCCCCCCCCCCCCCCCCCCCCCCCCCCCCCCCCCCCCCCCCCCCCCCCCCCCCCCCCCCCCCCCCCCCCCCCCCCCCCCCCCCCCCCCCCCCCCCCCCCCCCCCCCCCCCCCCCCCCCCCCCCCCCCCCCCCCCCCCCCCCCACCCCCCCCCCCCCCCCCCCCCCCCCCCCCCCCCCCCCCCCCCCCCCCCCCCCCCCCCCCCCCCCCCCCCCCCCCCCCCCCCAGGGGAAGCCTGACTAAGGAGCAGGTATCCTTAGGAAGGGGATGGAGGAACCCCAAAACCTCCATGTTAGGACCTGTCAGCCCTCTCCACCCTGTGGAATTTAGGAGGACAAAGCCTGTCTCCCCCCATTAGGATGGTGCTGATCCAAGAGCCTGGGCTCAGAAAAGGGCAGAACGTGGGCCCTGGAGATTATCTTGATGGGTTCTCACACATTTTGGTCACGGGAACCCTTTATGCTTATAAAAATTATTAAGGATCCCCAAGGGGATTTTATTTATGTAGGTCATATCGATTGATATACTGTCTTAGAAGTTAAAACAGAAATTTTAAAGCGATCATTAAAAATAACCACAGCAAATCCATTACAGGATAGCATACTTCTTGAAAGCTAGCTATTTACCAAAGTTTCAATAATGAGTGGTAAAGAATGGCCTTGCTTTATAAGTCTATCCAGCCTCTGTAGTGTCCAGCTTAATAGAAGGCAGCAGGGTTTTGTGTCTGCTTCCTACATGGTCTGCTCTGCTGTTTGGTTGACTATAGGAAGACTTAGGCCAGCATTCTGCTTACACCCTTCTCCATGCCCCCCCCCCACACACCTGTAGATGGAAAGGGAAGGCCTTGCAGATGTCCTGACTCCCAGGGGTCTTTGGTCTACTCTCTGGGAACTGTTCCTGTCCAATAGCCCCATTTTACAGATAGGGAGACTGAGGCCTCACTAGGTTTAGCCAGTCCCAGAGATATGCACTGGTTACCATGTGCTTCCAGCCCAGCCCCCATCCACAAGCAACTCAAGGTGAAGGAACCAGGTGTGTGGCAGGAGGGAGCCCCTGAGCAGTGCCGGCTGGGGACCCAGCCAGACCAGAGCAGGCTGCTGTGGGTGGCATTCTTGGGGTGGGGTGTTGTGCAGAGAGAAGTACGGAGCAGGCTCTGGGGGGCATGCAGGAGCGGGTCATTCCCAGCTTGGGCATGTGGTGAACAGGCTCTTAGAGGTGGGTGGGGTATTGGTGGAGATGGCACTACGTGAATAGAAGCTGGAGGCAGGCCAGGCACCGTGTCATCTGTGGGAGCCTGCACGTTGTCCTTGAGGGATGGACAGCAAGGAGCACTGGTTACACAGCAGCCCTCCCCACTCGGGGTTGCTACGCGACTTCAGGTCTCAAGAAGAGATGGAAAGACGATACCAGGCAGTGGTGTTCCTGGCAGGAGCTTTGTGGGGAGCCCTCGGCACCTACAAACCTCGCCCTGTCTCTGTTGTTCAGGTCTCACCTGTCCTCAAAGGGGGCAGGACGCAGGGCACCTGTAGACATAGCCAGGGGTGGAACTAGATCTCCAGCCCAGGGCAGGGGACCTCACTGGGTCCCAGAGGGACACCTAGTGTCTGCACCCTTGTTCTTGGCAGTTCTCTGTTTCTCCTTTTCTGGAGATCAAGTGGCCACAGCTGGGTTCTGGGGTTCCATATGGCCGCTCCCCCAGGCCTACAAAGTATGACAGATAATTAAGAAACCTGGCTGAGGTCTGACCCAGGCCCACTTTCCTGCCAGGAGGAGCCAAGGACCCCTCTTGGCAGGGGAAGACAGGGTGTCCCCATCCATAGACCCATGTCTTTGGGTGACTCCGAGGTATGTTGTGTGTGGTTTAGTGATCCTGCATGGGATAGCTCCTTGTGAAGGAGATGGGTGGTGCCGAAGCAAGAAAGAGGCAAGAACAGAGTGCAGGAGTAGGGGGGTTTCTTTCAGTGGGAACAGAGTAGCTGGCAGTGGCAGAGATCAGCCTGGATTGTGTCCTTGAGCAAGCTGACTAGGGTATGGAAGAAAGTACTGAGCTTCATGGGCTGTCACAAAGGCCAACACCTGTCCTCTTAGGATTTCATCAGTCACTGTTCTGATCTCTTATCTGGACAGGGACAGTCCCTGTGGGACAGGGAGGAACTGAGATGAGCTGTCCAGGTGCCTTTATGTCAGGGACTTCTGGCTAGGAATCTAAACTATGACCCTGGGAAGGGTCTTGCTTGGATGTCCCTAGGTCTGAGACTTGGTGTCTGTGGGTCTGGGGATATCTGGAGTTCAAGAGGTTTCCTCACCTTGCTGTGTCCCTGGCTGTGTGATTTGGTGGGTGAAGCTTTGAAGAAGCATCTGGGCCATTGTCCTGCTCAGAAACCGTAGCTGTCCCTAACCTGGGCAACTCGTCATTTCAAGATCCAGTTACCCGAGCACAGCCACGCACCTAGGATTCCCTCAGGTTACCCTGGCTGGCTCACAGCCTTGGGCTGTTTCTTCCGCAGAGCTTGCTGGACTATTCCCAGAACCCTAGTGTACCCCATGGCTCCACACCAGCCCAGGCACTCACAATGGGGAGGGCCCCAAGAAAACACCAATAACCTTTGCTGGGTGGGCTCTTGGACCTATGGGGGAACAGGTGGCAGAACAGTGGGGAATCCAAGCCTTCAGGGTGCTGATCAAAGCCTGGAGCCCCATCTTGGAGGTGGGAGACCAGGGTCCAGTCTTGGTGAGTGGCCTTAGGGCAGTTTGTGGCCTTGTCTGGGCTCAGCCTGCCCATGGGCACAGCAGGATCCTGCATGGGGAAATGGGCACCCTGTGACCCTGTCAGGGTAACCTCAGGTTGCACTCCTGGTCTCCACAGCCTGCCAGTCATTGATGGAGGAGTCTAGGGGCTTCCTGGAGGAGGGGACTGGAGGTAGAATTGATTCTCACCACAGTTCTCTGGCTTCACAGAGGCCTTTGATCTCTACCAGAGGACTTAGGGCACCTGGGGACCATGTGTGCCATGACCTTGATTTGGGAATTGTCCTTATCTCCTCCTTTGCTCCATGGGGCAGGTTTATGACTAGAGACCTGAGCAAGAGGCCTCTGCTGGGCCACAGGCATTAACTCTCTGTGGCCCTGGACTCTCAGAGAAGGGGACACAGGCCCAGGGCAATGCCAAGACCACAGAGGGCTGACAGGCACTGAGGCCCAGGAGTCTAGGGTCTCACTGCTGACAGAGGCCAGGTCTCCTGATCTCTTCCCACTCCCTAGCTTCTGGCTCCATGGGTGCAATCCTGGGGCTTAGGGAGCCCAGATGAAGAGGCTGGCACTAGAGCACTTGCCATTCTGTTACCTGCTGGGGACCTTGGCCAGTCTCCCTGCTTGCCATCTGGAAAGGGGAGGTGACCATACCTCCAGGGGCCACGGAGCAGGAACTGCAGAGTCCTGTGCCCCAGGTGGTCTTTCTGGCTATTGTCCTGCTGGGAGGGCCCACTTTGCAGAGGAAAGAGGCCTTGTTTTTAGGATGTATTTTTAAACAGGAGCCTGTGCTACCCAGTAGAAAGTCCTCCTGACCAGAAGGAACCCAGGTGAATGGGCTACAGAGCAGTGTTTTCCTGGCCTGAAACCACAGGGGTGGTGTGGCTTTGAACTACAGGTTACATGCAGGGGGCTTCCTGGCTGTGGGATGCAGGGAGCAGGAACCAGGGGCCAGGGGCCAGGCTCAGGGACCTCGTGTGCAGGGAAAGATGTAGAATTTGTCCTGAGGCTGTGGGACACTGCTAGAGGGTTTCCAGCAGAGGACCACGCGGTCATCTCTTTTAAAAATCCACCCTTGCTCTGGGTGAAGGAGAGATTGGAGTGGGGCTGGGGAGGCACACAGGATGCACTCACCATAGTCTGTGAAGGCACGATTGTGGCCGGGCTAGGGAGGGCCACAGGGGCTACAGAGTTGGGCTGGCTGAGCAGGCACGGTGCTGGAGGAAAGGGTGAGCACTGGGTTGCAAGTTTCACTGCAACCCTGAAATAGGGACCTTCTGGAGGCCAAACAATGGAGGATCTCTGGCCAGCAGTGCCACAGCTGTGGGCAGCGTGAAGAGGGCATGTGAGCCATGAGTGGTGGAAGAGTGTCTGGCTCTGGCTGCAGGAAGTGTTCACAGCAGCCCTCTTGTCTCTTTCTGCCGCTGTCTTTTCCTTGAACTTGGCCACCAAGCCTCTCGGGGTCACTGTCTGTCTAGATCTGACCCCTCCTGTAGGCTGGCTCATTAGGTCTGAAATGATTACTGCTGTTTGTCCTCCATGGCCGCCAGGGTGACCTTTCTCCAGCAGGCCTCTAAAATGTCACACCCTTTCATGCCTCTGTGCTCTGTGCCCTGGTGAGCCCTCTGGCTCTCGCTTATCCTCTCAGCACCCCTACTTGTAGAATCCAGGGCGCTGAGTTTCCCGTAGCTGGCATCCCCTTGGAGCTCTGTAAAGGGCTGTTGAATGAGGCGTTGAGTCAGCCTCCTGCCACACGGTGGTGACAGGCCAGATGTCTGAACATCACATTCCTGAGCAAGTGTTAAGAAGAAGGGAAGGTGGCACTTATGTCAGGGACCTGGCAAAGGCCATGTCTTTGTCCTCTAGCCTGCTTTTACAGTGGTCTGGGAGGGGTGATACCCCCCCCCTTTTATGGAGGAGCAAATAGAGGTTTGCCAATGGGACATTCCTTGAGCTGATTCCCAAGCTGGCACAGGCTCTCCACCTGGAGAATAGTCAGCTGGGCAGGACGCAGCTGTAGGGAACAGTGGTGGGGGATCCTGAGCCCAGATACATGGAGGTCCAGGGGGATCATGGAGAACACCCTGATTGCCCCTTTCTCCACTGACCAGCTCCCTTTTCTCTGGCACTTTGCAACCTCAGACCAGCTGCGGAGGGCGGGTGAGTGCGCAGCCCCTCCGAGGCTGCTAGACCTGCTGGGTTGGCACTGCTCCCCTCTCCTGGTGCCCCACCCTTTTCCTGCTTGGGCTCCACACAGGCAGCAGTGGGGTCTCAGCTGCTTCTGGCCATGGCTGCTTGGAGTTTGTAGCTTATTGGGAAAGGAGCAACCTGGGCCAAGCAGCAGTGTCTGGGCACTAGAGCCAGGTCTAGAGCCCGGATCTCTTAGCCCTGCTTGGGGCTGCTCTGCACAGCCTCCCTGGCCTGTGTCAGGCCTTTCCCTGGCATTTGGTACCCAGCCTCGCTTTTCCTTGCATGGCCATGCTGAGCTGAGCTGGGCATGGTAGTGGTGGCTCAAATGTCATGCACTCAGCCCTGGGTGGGGGGAGGGCAGGAACAAGTGGGGTCATCAACTTCCTGTATGGACCCATCTGTATTCCATCTCTCCAGGCCCCAGATGTCAACACATCCATCACCAATGACAGGCACGACCTGACCTTTTCAAGCTTGGGATGCGGGTGGAAGAGGGGATAGTAATCCTTGAGTGCTTCACCCTGCCCTGGTGGCAGGGCTAGGCCATGCTGTCCCCTCTGTGTAGGACCCTTGCTCACAACAGGAAGTCTTTCTTGTCCATGGCGGCCAACCTGCACTAGCAGAGGAGCTGAGCAGAGACAGCTTAAAGGCTTCAAAGGGCCTCTGACCCTATGCCTACTCCACTCAGGTGGCTGGCAGTGCCGTGTCCCCGGAGCATAGCGGTCACCTCTACCCTGGGGCGATACTTCAGAGATAGGACCCAGCCCCCAACCACAAATTCAAGTCCCTTTAGCTCTTTTATGGCTTGGTTCCCATTCCCTTACCAACCCAGTCTCCCCTCTGCACACAATCCATTTTATGAATTTTGCTTTAAAAGGATGCAGGGCTTGAGACAAAGGTGGGAGCCAGTATTTGAGGCGTACCTACTGTGTGCTGTGAATTTTAAAACATCTGTCCTCTTTATTCTTCACAAACATTTCCCATTTTACAGATAAGGAGAAGGAGATAGAGGCTTAAGGACCCTCTCCCCTCCTCCCCTGCTCACCTCTCCTCCCTTCATTAACTGTCACTGAGCACCCAGGTGGAGCCAGACCAAAGCTGGCTGAAGACCTTGTCTTGGCTCCCAAGAGGCAGGGTTCTGCCCAAGTCCAGTCTACTCCAAAGCTGTGGACAGAGCCAGGTGGAGCCTCCCACATGGGAAGTAGTGAGCACCTATCCCTTGTTGCCTGCAGACGTACACAGGCTCCATCCTGGTGGCTGTAAACCCCTACCAGCTGCTCTCCATCTACTCACCAGAACACATCCGCCAGTACACCAACAAGAAGATTGGGGAGATGCCCCCCCACATCTTTGCCATTGCAGACAACTGCTACTTCAACATGAAACGCAACAGCCGGGACCAGTGCTGTATCATCAGGTGGGCGGTCCAGCACCAGTGTGGGAGCTCCAACTCCACAACCCTGCTAATCCCTCTAGGGACTTCTCCACTGTCAGAAAGGCCATGTCAGAAAGCTCATCAGGAGCCAGGCTGTGCACCCCATTCTGTGTCATAATGTAGGAATTGCCTCCTTTTTCCCAGGTCTTGTATCTCGATTAATGCTACCAAAACCTTGTGTTCACTTTTGAGGCCAACCTTGTTTACTGATGGCTCCTGTTAAGTTATGGTCAGCTGAAATCTCAGATTTCTGTTTTCTCTGGGGCAGAGGGTAAGAGGCCAGAGCACTGATGGAGCATGTGGCATGTGCCATGCTCAATGACAAGGATGAGAGGGCGATGCGTGTGAATGAAAAGATGAAGTTACCTGTGGCTGTGGCAGAGCTCTGGACTCCCAAGGAGCAAGACTGCCAGCCCATATTGCAGACAGTTCGCTGGTGGTGCAGCCTGGGCTGAGGCCTGTCCTGCCACCCCCGCCCTCTGCAGCGGAGAGTCCGGAGCAGGGAAGACAGAGAGCACGAAGCTGATCCTGCAGTTCCTGGCGGCCGTCAGCGGGCAGCACTCGTGGATCGAGCAGCAGGTCCTGGAGGCCACCCCCATCCTGGAAGGTAGGGCCAGGCTCTGAGGGCAGGCTGGGTGTTGGAGCTAAGGCTGACCTTGCCAGTGACCTCTTCCCCCACCCCCCACCTGCAGCATTTGGCAATGCCAAGACCATCCGCAATGACAACTCCAGCCGCTTTGGGAAGTACATTGACATCCACTTCAACAAGCGGGGTGCCATCGAGGGTGCCAAGATCCAGCAATATTTGCTAGAGAAGTCCCGAGTCTGTCGCCAGGTGACCACAGGCCCCAGGATGTGGGGCAGATGCATGGCAGATCCTGCCTCTGGTGGGTGGCACTGCTGTCCATGTGGCCCAGCCATCCCTCAAGTCCCTGTGCTGTCACCTGCTTGCCTGAATGCCCAAGGTCCCACTGTGCCACCTACTGGGTTTTTACCCATTCTCAGGCCCCTGATGAGAGGAACTATCACGTATTCTACTGCATGCTGGAAGGCATGAATGAGGAGCAGAAGAAGAAGCTTGGCCTGGGTCAGGCAGCCGACTACAACTACTTGGCCATGGTGAGGCCCAGGGTTGTGGTTTGAAGTGTCACCTATCCCAGTGAGATGGGGCAGGTCCAAATCTTGCCCACATAGCCTGCCCTGCTGTGGCCCAGTGGGTGGGCACATCTGCCTGTGCCTTCCCCTCCCCCTCCACACCCCTTGTCCTGCTTCAGGACAAGGGCTTGTCCGTGCCATAGGCCTGTCTTCCACCTGGCACAAGCCTGCTAACATACCCATCTTGTGAATTCTCAACACAGACACATGCTAAAGGTAGACGTTTGACACAGAGGCATACATGTCCATGTGTCCATGCACACAGAGTGCCCCCAACCCCAAGCTCTGGTTATTTTTGAGGCATGAAGACTGGGGGGGAGGTGGCTGCTGAGGCTGCAGCCTCCATGGCTCACTGGTAGCAGGTTCTGGTGCTGGTGTCTTGCAGCGATCTGGCCTGGGAGGCCATCACTGCCCCAAAGCATTGTGGAGGGGATCTGGGGGCTGTGCACACAGCAGGCTGGCTTGGGGTGAACCATGTCTGCATCCTAGGGAGTCCCCAGCAGAGTTACAGGGATATAAGTGTGGGCTGTGGCACTTAAGGGGTTGTGTTGTGAGTGTGACAGACCTTCCTGTTTGGCACACTTGGACACACATAGCATGGAGCAACCCCCTAGCTGCAGTCCCTTCTCCCCCCTCCCCCCCCCCAACTAGGCAGTGTCTGGTGAGGGGCCAATGCCTCTGAGAGTGGTGTCTCCCAGGGAGCATGGTGGGGCCTTGGTGCTATGACTGGCAAGTGGCTGCCTGGCCTGGCATTAGGACCCGGTTCCTCTCACTCATGGGAAGAAGGGGCATCCAGGCCCCCAGACGTGGGAAATGAGCTCTAATATGCCCAGGGAGGAGCTTTCAAGACCCTCCAAAGTCTTCATGCTCACATGGAGAGGTCAGCACATGGAGCCCCAGCTAGCCTGGCACAAAAGACCCTTCCGCCAGGTGCCGCCTCTCAGGATGCCCCACTCTCCAGCTCCCCACTCTTCCCCCTGCCCCTCAGGGTAACTGCATAACCTGCGAGGGCCGGGTGGACAGCCAGGAGTACGCCAACATCCGTTCTGCCATGAAGGTGCTCATGTTCACTGACACAGAGAACTGGGAGATCTCCAAGCTCCTGGCTGCCATCTTGCACATGGGCAACCTACAGTACGAGGGTGAGGCTGGTGGTGCCCCAATGCCAGGGCAGTGCGACACCTAGCTGTCTATGGAGGCTGGCAGGGTGGTGTCAGTCCCAGCAGGTAGCCCCTGAGATGGAGAGGTAGAATGCAGAGGTCAGCTGGCCTGATGTCAGCCTCAGGGATGGTGTCATTGTGTGCCATCTTACCACAGAGTTGGATGTATGCTGGGTTCTGGGAGCTGACTGGGCCCTTTAAGACCCCTTCCACATTTGGCTTCCTTTTTTTTTTTGTTGGTGGTGGTACTGGTGCTCTTTCCTTGGTGTCCATCATGAGCTCTGGGCAGAGTAGGGACGCTGGGAAATTCCCAGTGAATGAATGACCCACCAGAGCTGGGAGTGTGGGGTGGAGGTTGAAGGAGAGGGGCACCTGCCAGTGTGTGCTGCTCAGATGCAAGGCATGGCATCTGGTCCTGGTGTATTGGGTCCCTACCCTCGTAGTGCCCGTAGGCGCTTGTAAGAATGTTAACCAGCTGTACATTGACCTGGGGAACCACTTAATCATAGTCCCGATGGCCTCTGTGGATAAGGCAGGTCCCTGAGGGCGGGCATGGCAGCCTGGTCCTCCTAGGACTATGCCTGCCCACGCCCCCTCTGCCGACCCTCCCTATCCGACACTGCGTTCCCTGTTGCTGGCAGCCCGCACATTTGAAAACCTGGACGCCTGTGAGGTCCTCTTCTCCCCATCCCTGGCCACAGCTGCATCTCTGCTTGAGGTCAGTGCTGGCCGTCTGTCCCCACCCCTGTGTCCATCCCTTGGGGATGGTGCTGACTTCTGGATCAGTGGGGGTGTGATGTGGGGACCAGGCTGCTGGGAGAGTTATGTTCAATATCAGAACCGGCTGTGTGCAGGCCATGTGCTGGAGGGCACTCTGCCTTAAAGGGGGTGCTGTGCTGAAGGGGGCCCTGTGCTAGGTCACTCTGAGCTGGGCAGGCTCTGTGCTGTGTAGGAGGCTCTGTAAAGGTGGGCTCTGTGATGGGGGGACTCTGCAATGGGTGGGCCCTGTGCAGGGATCCATCTTGGAGGAGCAGAGTCCAGAGCTTGGGGGCCTCACTGGCCTTAGTTGCCCAGCTGCCCTTGGGATGGCATGGGATGGGGAGGCCTGGGCTGGGGCCCTGTAATATTCTGGGCTCTGTGACCCTGGGTGAATCTTTCCTGCCCTCAAGGCCTCAGTGTATACAATTGATTGAAGGGCACTGGTGTCCACATGTCAAGTTGTCAAGTCTGTCAGGCCAGTCCTGGGAGGGACAGGTACCATGCTCATGGAGTTAGGAGGGTAGTGAGGACAGCATTGGTTCTAGATAGCACCTGGATGGCTTCTGAGAATGGGGAGGATTTGGCTGTGGTGGGAAAGGTGGGTCTCTGTGGAGGGCATAGCCTGAGCCAGGCCTGGATGGAGGGGAGGAGGGCAGGTTGGATGAACTCCTGGGTGTCTGTACTCTCAGGTGAATCCCCCAGATCTGATGAGCTGCCTGACCAGCCGCACCCTCATCACCCGTGGGGAGACGGTGTCCACCCCACTTAGCAGAGAGCAGGCACTGGATGTGCGTGACGCTTTTGTCAAGGTGGGTCATTGTGGAGTGACCACCTTGCTTTTGCTGCCCCCTTGGGAGCTTGGATTGTTGATGGACAGGTGCAAGGTGTCCCTCGAGCTAGACCCCACCCTTGGCTAGGGTCCAGGCTGCTGCCCCTCACTGTCTCTGAGGCCTGTGCACTATCTGCCCTCCCCTAAGCTTTGTGTGTCCACGCATCCCACAGGGGTCCATGCTGTTCTCTCCAGGGACCTGCCCTATGCTAGCCCCTCTGTTTCCTCAAACCTCATCTTGGACTGCTTGGATCTTCTGCTCCCAGCCAGGGACTCCCTCTTTGGTTTCTCTGCAGCTGACACAGAAGCAGACTGGGTTGGGTGGGAGCTCCCATACCTCCCTGTTTCTCCATTTATCACTCACTTAGTCCCATCTGTGCCAGCCCTTGAAGGGCTCTGAACTATCAAGTTATTTAGAGACGATGGGAAGATTTTGGAGGGTGGTCAATGGTGGCTCCTTTCCAACTGCTGACTCAGAAGGGGTGATACCCCTTTATTTATTTATTTATTTTTGTTGATCATTTGAAAAAAATGGAGATAGTGTATTGTAGTGATTAATGAGTGAAAGATTCAAGACTTCCTTTTCCCTTTTTATTAAGATTATAAAATATAGCCAGGTGCCGGTGGCTCACACCTGTAATCCTAGCTACTCAGGAAGCAGAGATCAGGAAGATCATGGTTCAAAGCCAGCTTGGGCAAATAGTTCGAGAGACCCTATCTCAAAAAATCCATCACAAAAAAGGGCTGGTGGAGCGACTCAAGTTGTAGGCCCTGAGTTCAAACCTCAGTACTGAAAAAAAAAAGAATTATAAAATATGAATAATGCAAGCATACAAATTAATAGAGAATGATCTAGCAAACACTTTTGTGCTTATTACTAAGATAAGACAAATGTAAACACTTTTCTTATGAAGCTTTAAGAGCACAAAAACAGATGAGTTAAAATGTTACTAAGACAGGTAAAGCCTCACTCTGTCCCTTCTCTGTCCCTCTCCTCTCCCCAGGGAGAACCATGTCCTGAAGTTGATTGTATATTGACCCTAAAATGTATGTCCATAAATAGCATACAGCAGAGCCTTGAAGCTGTTCAGGAATTGCTCAGGCAGAAGAGGGTGCTCCGGGAGCAGGAACAGCTGGAGAAAAGGCTTGGGGGGCGGGGTTCTAAGAGCCTATTGTGCCATAGAAGGGTGGGAGCTGGGCACGAAGGCTGCAGGAGCTCAGCCTTCTCCCAGGCCTGGTGGTTGATGGGCCATCTTTCAGGGCATCTATGGTCGCCTCTTTGTGTGGATTGTGGATAAGATCAACGCCGCAATTTACAAGCCTCCCTCCCAGGAAGTGAAGAACACACGCCGGTCCATCGGCCTTCTGGACATCTTTGGGTTCGAGAACTTTGCAGTGAACAGGTACCACATGGGGCACTACTGGGTAGAAATGTCGCATCTCTCCCTTTAAGCCACATTTAGCTGGCTCCAAGCACATTCCACCAGGCTGTTGGCTTCCGTCATCCTGGAGGTCCTGGTCCATCTCCTTCCCCTGCTCACTTCTCCCCTCCAGGGTCAGTGACACCAGCCTGGGGGCAGGTGGGGGAGGTCTTTGCCCTGTTCCAGACTTTTAGGAGGCCTATCTGGTCTCCAGGCCCCATGGCCATTGCTGCTCTGCCAGTGTCCAAGCTGCAGGGGGCATCAAATCAAGCAAGGCCTGAGTTCAGCTGCATTGCCTGGGTCTTAGCCTCCCTTGGGGACCTGTACCTGTTGGGGCCATGTGAGGGACCAACAAGAGGAGCAGGCACAAGGAGGGTCCTGGGGCTGGAGGTAGTCAGCCCTGGCCCTACTCCCTAGCTGTGTGACCCCAGGTAATCACTTTAATTCCTGCACTGTGAGACTGAGTCAGCAGTCAGGGCTCTCTTGCTGGATCTTATCAGCCCCTTCCCTCTGCTTACCTTAGTGTCTATGGTCTTGACTCCTCCTCTCCCAGGTCCTGCAATGGGGCCTGGTCATTCAGGGAAAGGGTCCTGGACCCTGGCCTCCAGGATTCTTCTCCTCTGACTTCTCTGTGCGACCTGGGGCGAGTCCTTTTCCTCGCCGGGCCTTAGCATCCTTTTCTGAAGGTGGAAGGGTTGGACATGAGGCTAGGGTCTCATGAAGGGAGCCAGCCACTTGCTGTAGGCTGACGCTGAGTCAGGCCTGAGCAGCAGGGCAGGAGCCTGAACAAGACCCCCGCCATCCCCTGCGCCCCTCAGCTTCGAGCAGCTCTGTATCAACTTCGCCAACGAGCACCTGCAGCAGTTCTTCGTGCGGCATGTGTTCAAGCTGGAGCAGGAGGAATATAACCTGGAGAGCATCGACTGGCTGCACATAGAGTTCACTGACAACCAGGACGCCCTGGACATGATCGCTAACAGGCCCATGAACATCATCTCCCTCATCGACGAGGAGAGCAAGTTCCCCAAGGTGGGCAGCTAGTGGGCAGGGGGCTCCCGGCACCACCTCCCACAGGCTGCGCAGTGGGCAGCCCGTTCCCACTCTTAAGTCTGGCCTTTCCCCATCTGCAAAGTGGCACGAATGCCAGTAACAACAGAGCTCTAAGTACACAGTGGTGCAGAATATGTGCTCAAATCACAGAATATGTCTTGAAGTGGGGGATTGCTCCCAGGAATTTTTGTTTTGTGTTTTTTTGTTTTTTTGGTTTTTTTTTGAGATGAGGTCTTGCTATGTAGCCCACCTGCCCCACTCTGCCAGTCCTGTTTTGTGTTGGGTATTTTCAAGATAAGCTGGCTTCAAACCGAGATCCTACTGATCTCTGTCCCCTGAGTAGCTAGGATTACAGGCTTGATCCACTGGTGCCCGGTTTACTCGTAGGATTTTGATCGTGAGAAATGCTCTAGGGTTGGTGCAGTAGCTCAAATGGTAGAGTGCCTGCCTAGCAAGTGTGAGACCCTGAGTTCAAATGCCAGTTCCACCGCCACCAAAAAAAAAAAAAAATGATGCTCTAGACTGAATTGTGCCTTCCAGGTCACGTAGCTCCGATTCACCCACTTATCAGATGAGGACGTGGAGGCCCAGAGAGCAGCTGTGCGGGTGTGATTGGGGGAGGGGTGTGAAAGCACAAGCAGGGGAGGCAGCAGGCCCTCTGCTCCCACAGGGCACAGATGCCACCATGCTACATAAACTGAACTCCCAGCACAAGGTCAACCCCAACTATGTGCCCCCCAAGAACAGCCATGAGACCCAGTTCGGCATCATCCACTTTGCAGGCGTTGTCTACTATGAGACTCAAGGTACAGTGGCGGTCGGGTGTCCCTGTGCCTCTGCCCCGCCCTTCCCATCTGCAGACAGAAGAAACTGCAGGGTCTGAGCGCAGAGGAGAGGGGAGGGGCCTGAGGAAATGGGGGATGCTCAGTGCTCTTCTTGTGCTTTTCCAGAGGATTTTAAAATTATTTTTTGCAGTACTGGGGCTTAAACTCAGAAAAAAGTGCTCTACCACTGAAGCTTAAAACATACTTTTAAAACATTGTAGCAAAGTGTGTGTATATATATATATATATTTTGTCATTTTCACCATTTTTAAGTGTACATTTGGGTGACATTAAGTACAATGTGTGACTGTCACCACCATCACCATCATCCCACACAGGAGCTCTGCACCCATCATCCCCTCTCCCTCAGCCCTCACTGAGGGCATTCTACTTTCTTCCTCCCTCAATTTGACCATCTGGGTGCCTCACGTGGGAGGTCATATGGCATTTGCCTTTCTGTGGTTTTTTTTTTTTTTTCACTTAGTGTTATGTCTTCATACCAAGGTTCATTGGTATTGTGTGTAGCATGGCTCAATTTCCTTCCTTTTTATGTGTGAGTAATATTCCATCATATGGACACAAAACAGTTTGTTTATGTGCTCAGCTGCTAACGGACATAGGTTGGTTGTTTGCCTCTTCGGTCAGCGTGCACTGTGCTGCTGTGAGCATTAGCATAACATATCTGCTAAAGTCCCTGCTTGCTTTCTTTTGGGAGAGGGGGACTCAGTGTTCTTGCACCTATGAGGAAACAGGCTCAGAAGGGGGACTGAGTGTCCTCATGCAACCTCACACAGCCTATAGATGCAAAGCCAGACCTAGAAACAGCCCAGTTACCTGCCAGGCTCTTCCAGCCTCTTCCTCGCGCCAAGGCCAAGTATGAACGGTGAAGGAGATGGATATATATCTTCTCTTCTCCTGAGAACGTGGCTGGTTCATTTCAAATTGGAAGTTAGGAAGAGGGGTTGGAACCAGGGTTTATCCCGCATGGAATTTTTTTGTTTTGGTTACTTGAGACGGGGTCTCACTGTATAGCCCAGGCTGGCTTTGAATTCACAATCCTCCTACCTTCTCCTCCCAAGTGCTGGGACTACAGGTGTGCATCACCACACTTGGCCCCACTTGGAATTCTTACAGGGTCTGCCATAGCCTGCAGAAGACCTTGTTGACCTCTTACCCACCCTGATCTGAAGGGCTGGTCTCAAGTTGTGTGTAATTAGCTCCTGTTAATCAGTCCTCAGTGGGCCCACCCAGTGTGAAAGGCCAATAGCATTCAAAGCAAGCAAGCTGGGAACTCGTGAACTGGTCTGGAAGTTGGCATGTGTTAGCCAGACCTACTGTTGCAAAAGTTGTCGTCGTTCCCCTCTCACAGATGAGGGCAGAGGCCTAGAAAGGGGACCCTCCCGGGGTTATGTGGTGAGGCTGGCATGGAGCTCTAACGAGAGCCTGTAACTCTGTTCCCATTCCAAAGCACACCCTTCCATTACTTGAGCCCAGCATACCCCTCCCCAGATGCTGGTCCCCCACTGGAACATGGACATGAGTTAGCTAGAACTTCTAAAGTCCCCTGCTTGCAGACTCAGGGGAGGCTGAGTCTGGCATGGGGGCTGCCAGCTGGGGCGGTGTGACTGCTCTTTATCACTGCCCAGGCTTCCTGGAGAAGAACCGAGACACCCTGCATGGGGACATCATCCAGCTTGTCCACTCCTCCCGGAACAAGTTCATCAAGCAGATCTTCCAGGCCGATGTTGCCATGGTAAGTCTGTGTGGGGTTTCCGCTGGGCAGGAAGGTCCCCCTGGGTTTATTCATTGTCTGCCAGTGGAGCTCATTCCCTAGAGAGCAAGGACAGGGCTTTGCTGTGGTTCCAGGGGAGGACATCCAAGATGTCCCCATCTGGTCCTCTTGCACTGATGGGATGCGACTGGGTACAAGGCCCAGAGAAGGGCCGTGTGAGAGGTCACAGAACAGAGCCCAGTTGGGACTTGGTTTTCCATGGAGGTCCAGCAGCGAACAGGCATGAAGGGAGCTGTGGGATGATGTGGTATGCCGTTCCTGGCACACAGGGCATGCTGGTGCCTGGTAGATTCTCCTCTGTAGGTTCCTCTGCTGTTTGCTCCATGTTTTCCTCCTGTCCATGGCTTCCTGGAAGGTCTTGCTGGAGGGCAGAGCCCCTGCCCCTCAACCAGCTGAGGTAGCTCAGACCCAGGCCTCTGCGTGAGGGCCTCCCTCTGGATTCCACCCTGCCTTCTGACCTGCGTCTGTCCTGCTGGCTCTTTCTCCCATCTCACCTGCCTGTGGTTCCCCTTGTAGTTTCTCTGTGGTTATTCATCCGGCACTCTCCACCAGGCAGCCACTTCTGCGAAGGTAAAAGCCCAGCCTGGGACAGGATGGCTGAGCCTGGGGAAGGGACTGGCTTTTTCTTCTTTCTTTTGGAGTGTGCTGTTTTGTGAAGTGTTTTTGGAGTGGTTTTTGTTTTGGTTTTTGAGTTGTGTGTACTGCAGACATCCGGGTTTCTTAAAGGGGGAAACTGAGTCCTCGAAGAAGTCGGCCTGGGCTTGCCCAGGGCAGAGCCAGTTCTTGAAACCAGGTCTTCCCAACCTCTCTGTCCCCCACCCTGCTGAGCATCTGCAGCTCCCACCAGCTCTGGGGATGCAATCAGACCTTCCAATGATCTTGTACCACAGTTGTAGTTTGCACATGAAGGGCTGAGGTCAGAGAGAATGGGACTTGGCCCAGTAACACTGTTGTCCCGGGGAGCTGGGACCAGGAGCTACCCCACCCATGTGCCCTAACCCCACCTTCAGGTCGTGGCTCCCAAGATGCTTCAGGTCCCAAGGTTGTCAGCACCCCTCAGCAGCAGCACAGAGCTGCTCCTCTCTCCTCAGCCCTCCATCTCCTCTCTGCTACTGCTGACACCCCCATGGCTTGTGACACAGAGGGACTAGGAGCCAGCTCTGTCTCAGCACAACGCAGGGTCTTGCCCAAGGTCACATACAATGCTAACGTGAGGTTTCCTGAGTCCCTGGCTGTGTCTGTAAGTATCATATCTAGGAAAGAAAAATGCTTTGTAAGCGTCCTCCTGTTAAGGGAGGCAGGAAATCAGCTGGGTTCATTGTGAAACATTCAGTGACAGCCTAAGTGATGACAGTGTCCCAGCAGCAATGCTCTGGTCAGGATGGAAGCCTGAAGTGCCTCCTTCCAGTGATCTGGATGCCTACCCAGTGTAGATCCCAGCCCTCTGAGTTCCCATCCTATGCCTCTGTGTCTACAGCCCCTCCCTGGCCAATGCTGGCAAAGAGACCAGCTGGGCCTTGAGGAAGGAAGCTCTTCCAGGCCTTGAGCCCACCCTGATTAATGTCTAATCCCCATCACATGTCCTGGGACCCTGTGCCCACAGGACATCGGCTTATTCCTTGTGCCGGTGGCCTGTGTCTTACCTGCCCCTTGCCCGACACCCGACATCATGCTCAGGTATCTTCCATCACATTCCCTTCGTGGAGCTGTTTCTCCCTGGTGTTTGGGATCTTTTTCTTTAATCTTTACCCCATACCTGAACATCTGCCAGATCATCCCAGGAGACAATAAACACCAGGAAGGACAGCCTTTCCCTCAGTGAAATAAAAGCAAATTAGAAACCCAGATGGCTACCAATGTCAGAGCACAACTGGCATCCATGTCATTCCTGTTCATTGATTCTACAAACATTTATTGGGTGACCATTACATGCCAGACAGTCCTACGGTAGTGAATGAAACAGGAAAAAAAAATGTCCTCATGGACAGGCTAGAACCCATGTTCTAGCACAAGAGAGAATCAGTTAATAAGCCTATAAATAAGTAAATCAGGCCATGTGAACGTTGGTAAGAGGTAGGGAAGAAGATGAGGGGAAGAGCAATGCAGTGGTGGGGATCAGGAAAGGCCTTCCTGAAAAGTTGGTAGGAGGGAAAAGACACCAGCCCCATGCATCTGGAAGAAGCCCTTTGTGGGGAGAAGAGGCAGCATATGCAAAAGCTCTGAGCAGCAGAGCAGTCAGGGGTTGGTTGGAGTGGCCAGAAGAGGGTGAACAAGTGGTGAAGATCAGAGGTCCCTGGGAACAGATCCTGTGGGGTGTTATGGGTCCTTACAGGGACCTCGACTTTCCCTGGAGGGGATTGGAGGGTTGGTGTGGGGAGAGAGACATGACTGCATTTATTTCCCATCCTCTGCCCATTGCTGTGTGGATGGAGGAGTGGAGGGGTGTGGGTGACAGGATAGAGAGACCAGTTTGATGAGAGCGAGGCTGGGATGGGCCAGGCTGACTGGAAAGAAATGAGAGGAGGGGTCAGGCTCTGTAGAGGATTTGCTGCTCCATCAGAAGTGAGAGAAGAGGTGCTAAGTTTTCCCTTAGGTTCCAGGGTTGTGGGCTTGAGCAGTCGGAAGGCAGACAGTGTCTGTGAGCCCATGGGGTGGCACCGTGAAGCAGTGCAACAGCACTGCAGCTAAGCCAGGTGTTGGTGGTTAGGTGTATCCAGCCCATACGGGGCCCCAGCCTGACAGGGAGGACAGACAGAGAAGAGCCGTTACAAGGTGATGGAAACCAAGGAAGGGTGTGTGTACTGTGGGGTGTGTAAGGTGTGTGCACGCTCAGTGTGTGTGTGTGTCATGTGTGCATGTGTGCTGAATGGTGTTGTGTGTATTGTGTGATCCATGCAGCTCACGCTGCATGTATGTGGACTCATGACAACGGCTCTGATACAGGCTGGGTACAGCTGAGCAGCACCCCCTCCAAGCAGGAGGCCACCCAGTGCTGCTATGGGATCGGGATCACCCTATCCCCAGCTCCCCCGGACAGAATCCTAGAACGTTCTCCAATCAAAACTAAGATGGGACACACTGAGTATTTCAGAATCGCACACTTGCTCTTTCTTGGTGGGGTTCACAACAGGCTGGTGCCATGTTATCTGAGTTTAGTCTCGGTTAAACACCTTTGTCCTAACAAATACCTCACACATCTACACCCACACCCTTGATTTCGATGTTACAGGACATGAGATGGAATCATGACTCTAAAAATATAAAATCTTGTAATAACTGAATTCACTAATAAGAAACTCTCACCCAAATAAAAATCACCAGGAAAACAAGATCGTGAAAGTGCTATGGCCTAGCAGCTGGGTTCCACATCCAGTGTCCGTGCCTCAGCAGAAGATTTCCTGTTTGTTTGCTCTTAGGGCTTCCCCAGCCCCTGTCCTCTATTCCTCAATATTCTGGGAGGAAACCCTAACAGGGCAGGGAAGTGCAGAGGGGCCTCTGAATGGCTCATTCAGAAGCCACCAGGGAGCACAGAACCCTTGGGGGTCTGGGGGCAGCTGTATGCCCTCTCAAGAGGATTAGATCTGCTTGCCCTGCCCCTAGCCTGCTGTCTGCTAATCCCATAAGCAGAGGAGTCATAGGCTGTGCTCCCTCCCTGCCCTCATGGTTTCCAGAGGCCAGGCAGTGATCATCCCAGGTGGCTGGCTTTTGTTGTTGCTGTTGTTTTGGTTTTGGTTTTTTAACATATGTTAATTATACCAAGTGGGGGTTCGTGTGATATTTCCATATATGCATATAATGTCTTTTGATCATAGTCAAACACACCCTGGCTTCTGACCCTCTTCACCTCCCTGGCAGGTGGACAGACGGCATTATTTTCATTTAGGAAATTGGGACCCAGTATCATTTAGTGATAAATGATATGGGCAAGGGTGTGAATTTAGGTTTGTCTAGTCCCTGTCTCTAAGACGACAACCTCACTGTCCTGAGGTGAACAAGGCTGGCCACCCATTCACACAGGGAGGGAAGATGAGCCTCAGATAGGGGCTGTACCTTCCCAGAGTCCTCCAGCATCCTGGGTGGGTGGGCAAATGAACAGAGGGATACCTTTGGAGGCTCTGAGGGGCGTCTGGGGTCCAAGCTCCAGCCTAGATGGAGGGAGGGGGTCACTGAAAACTTGGATTGCCCACTGTCCTCAGGCCCTGGCCCCGCTGACCGCCAGTAGTGCTTCTCTCCAGGACAGCTGCTGGAGGGAGGAGGGTCAGGCACGGTCCCTCCCATCGTGGTTTGTCCATTCCCCTCCCCAGGGCGCCGAGACCAGGAAGCGCTCGCCCACACTCAGCAGCCAGTTCAAGCGGTCCCTGGAGCTGCTGATGCGCACGCTGGGCGCCTGCCAGCCTTTCTTTGTGCGTTGCATCAAACCCAATGAGTTCAAGAAACCCATGGTGAGCACAACAGGGGCGGGGGCCGGGTCAAGGTGGGGTGGGGAAGGTGACATGAGACTTTGTCCTCTTTGGGGACTGGCAGCACAAGAGGGCTTGTAAAACAAGGTCCTGATTTGTCAGGGCACAGGTGCGCTGCCGGGAGCCGCCTTCAGTGTTGGCTCTGCCACATCCGAGCTGGGTGCCTGTAGGTGAATAGCTTGCTACTCTGTGACTCAGTTTCCTCGTGAATGGAAAGGGGACGCCCGCCACACCCACCCCCTGGTCCATTCCCCACAATCATAATGCAGGCTGTGGGGTACCTAGTAAGTGCTCAGTAAATGGCATTGTGGTTCTTGCTGCACCCTCTCCTTTGAGAGTCCCCTCTTCCCCCCTTCTCAACTCCCACCTTCTCCTGGAAGCCTTCTGGACTGCTCTTAAGCCATTCTATTTTTGATTCTTCTGAAGAGCATTCGTTGGGCCCATCCTGTGTGCCAGGCACAGCCTCGTTCAGCTTTTGCAAGTAGCCTGTGAGGAAGGGGACGTTGTCCTGGATGAAATTGTAGGACAGAGTGCTTGGGGAGATTGAGGGGCTGAGGGCTGCTGGTTGCCAGCCCCCTCCTTCTCAGCACAGGCCCTGGGAGGTGGTGTTTACCCAGAGGAGGGGAGAGGCCCAGAGGGAGGGAAGGAAGCCCAGGGAAAGTGGCCCAGAGAGAGGAAACAGGCTGCGGAAGCTGACCATCTGCACACACTGTCCCCGCCAGGAAGTCATTTCCCACAGTGGGAGAGGCCTTTGCCTTTGGGACTCAGATCTGCAGGGAAGGCCCTGGAGTCAGTGAGGCCTGCCTCAAGTGCAGGGGCCCAGGAAAATGGAGGCCAGAAAAGTTGGTTACTGCCCCGAAATACCCCCTTCTCCCAGCCCAGGCCTCAGGGTCTGTGGCCTGGACCTTGGCAGCAGCCTCCTCACCAGTCTCCTGCCTCCTATCTTGCCTACCCTCTCCCCTGCCCTTTCAACGCAGTGACGTTGTCCTCAAAACGGAACCAGTCTCTCCCTGCTTCCCCGGCTCCTGTCATCCACAGGATGAGGCCCAGCTTCCAAGGCTTCTCATCGCCTGGCACCTATGTTCTCTCCCGGTCCCCTGAACCCTGAGGCTGGTCCTGCCATGCAGACTTCACAGAAAGCAACTTGGTGCAGAGTAGAAAAGTGAACCGCTTCCTCAGGCACTGTTACTTGCCAGCAGGCAGAAGTTAGCCAAATAACCACAAATCTGAGCTGCAGTCTTATGAAGGCAGCCCTGGGGTTATGTGAGCACCCACCAGCACAGCGCACCTGTGAGCTGAACTTGCCTCTCCAGTCCTCTCCTTGTCCTCCAGCAGGTCCTTCGCTTTTAGGCATCCACTCCTTTTCACATGCTCGCCCCCTCTAGCTTCTTCGCACAGCTACCTTCTCCCTTCTCCCTTAGCCCTCTCTGGGTTTCCCAGGGGACATGGACCTGTGTGTCCCCTGGCTCCCACTGTGAGGGTTCTCACTTCACGCTGCTGTGTGGATTTGACCTGCAGACCCGGGCTCCGACCTGGCTGTGTCCTTCAGGCCTTGACCTCTCTGGGCCTCAGTCTGGTCAAATGCAGAGCAGGGCTGGCCTCCCAGCAGGAGCCTCACCCTGTTACCCTTGCCTCTGCACCTGGTAGCTGTTCGATCGGCATCTGTGCGTGCGCCAGCTGCGGTACTCAGGCATGATGGAGACCATCCGGATCCGCCGCGCTGGCTACCCCATCCGCTACAGCTTCGTAGAGTTCGTGGAGCGTTACCGTGTGCTGCTGCCTGGTGTGAAGCCAGCCTACAAGCAGGTACAGGGCTGGTGCACAGATGGCGATTTCACACTGGGACAGTGACCTGAACATGGCATCCAAATAGCTGCTTCAGTACTGCTGGGAAGATCAGGGCTGGGTAGTGGGACACGTTAGATGGCTTCATGGCCATGGTGGCTGAGGACAAAACAGAAGGCAGGACACAGCCAGTCATGGGGCAGAGCCATGGTGAGAGCCCTGCCTTCCAGCCTCAGGAGGGACACATGGAGCCTTCCTATTAGCGAGGCTACCCATTCCCTTGTACACCCCCAGGACGACCTCCGGGGGACATGCCAGCGGATGGCTGAGGCTGTGCTGGGCACTCACGATGACTGGCAGATCGGCAAAACTAAGATCTTTCTGAAGGTGAGCAACTGATGCTGGCTGCCTTGGGGGCTGTGACCACCCATCGTGGGCAGGGTTCCTTTGGGGTAAGGCTGCCTCTGTGGGAAGGTAAGGGAGGTTGGTACTTGAGATCACCAAACCAGACCCCTGACCTCAGCTGTTAGGCCCACAGCAGGGAGGCCTGGCCTCAAATCCTGACCCTGTGGTTGTCAGCTCTAGGACTTTGGGCAAGTCACTGGCCCTTTCTGCCTCCTTTTCCCACCTGTAAAATGGCACACATCCAGGGGTGGTCTGGAGTGTGTCTTAGGTCTCTTTCTGTGACTTCCTGCTAGGTAGGATTCACCCAGGTTTTGGTCAGCAGTGTGCCACCAGTCTCTATTGCTCTGTCCCAGCATTACAGCTGGGGTTCTTGGTTCCCACAGCCACCCAGTTGCTTGGGGAGCAGGAAGCTGGGCCCTGCGGAGTTTCAACCCTGGAGAGCTGTGGCAGGGACAGCGTGGGCTTCCTCTTTTCCATTTCCGCTGGGCCAGATTTCCGGCTATCCTGGGTGACAGGGCAGGGGTTCAGCCTCTGTGTGAGGGTGGATCCTGGATACAGGACAGCAAGGGAAGGGGAAGAAGGAGCAAACCCTCAACCAGAGGGAGTCTGGGGTCTGGTCTAATTCCTCTTGGGTCCAGGGCCTTTGCACCAGTCCCCACATCTCCCAAGGGTTCATTTCTTCATTGGATCAGTGGGGGGGGGGGGTGTATCTCATGACTGCTGGCTGGAAGGCCCAGGTGGGACTTTTCATCTGTGATCTCGTTTAGTCCTCCCAGCAGCCCTGTGAGTTGGGACGTCTTATGCCAGTTTCACAGAGGAGAAGCAAGTGGCTGAGGTCACACAGCTGAGAAGCAGAGAGTGAGGCTTCCAGCCTGGGATGGTCAGATGCCCAGCCTGTGTCTGCACAGGGGCAAGCAGGAAGTGTCAGAGGACTCTGAGGGACATCATTGTCCCCATCCTCACCCCTCTAGGCTCTTAAGAAATAGCAGTATTTTGAGAGACCTAAGATCCAAGCCTCATTCATTAATTCATTCACTCATTCATCCATTTATTGCAAAAGCCTTGGCCAGGCAGCTCCTCTGTGCTGTGCCCTGTGTGTCTGTGATTATTTAAGGGATATGGTTTTCCCATGAGGTCACCTGCCTGAAGGTATAGCCACATCTGCCTAGTCTGTGTAGCACTGCCCTATTCCCTAGCACAGTGCGAGCCCACAGGGACATTTCATTCATATGTATTGAACCACTGAAGTTGTGTCCAACTGGAGTGAGGAGGAGAAAAGGCTGGAGTTGTCAGCAGGGCCTGGATCATGGAGGTCTAGGATAAGGACATGGTGTGAGTTGTCACTAGAAGGATAAAATAAGGTTTGTGTTGAGGAGGGTCTGTCCGGCTGCATGTGAAGGAGAGCTGGGGATCGGTGAGGAGTGGGGGGAGTGATGGACACCAAGAGACTCCTGGTAAGGAGTCTGTTGCCAAAATTCTGGAAAGAAATGACAGCAGCCCAACTGGGGTCTCAGGGATGACTAGCAGTGCAGGGCCTTGGGCAAAGATGCCAATGGGGGAGCCAGGATGTGTTTGCATTAGGCTCTTTCACCCTATCCAGTGAAATGAGGCACCTTCTGCTCTGTTGGACCCAGGCCTATGGGAAACAGGCCCAAACCCTGGTGGCTGTGGGAGCCCATGCACAGGGCCTGAGCAGAGCTGGGAGCCCCAGGCCTGGGCTCTGAGTGAAGGAAGAAAGGCCCCACCTGGGACTGAGCTGGTGACCTGGAGGAGACTGTTGGGCAGTTGCTCAGGAGCTCTGTCTTCCAGGACCACCATGACATGCTCCTGGAGGTAGAGCGAGACAAGGCCATCACAGAGAGAGTCATCCTCCTCCAGAAGGTCATCCGGGGATTCAAAGACAGGTACATGCCCTGACCAGCTCCTGCTGCTTCAGCTCCACACAGGTGTGCGTGTGTGCACTTGGCTCACTTCTCCCCCTGTGAACACCAGGAGTAAAGATGATCACCCAAAGTATACACAGAGAAACAAGCACATATGTACGTGGCAAGCACACACAATCATGCAAACACAGAAACACAGGTGCATGATTTACACAGCTCTGTTGCACCATGTAAGCCAGGTACACAACATGCACTCCTGCATGCACAAGTGGATATCTAGAACACTCACAAGCTCTTTGCTCATTTCAGATGCTGACAGAATTACCCAAAGAGGACATCTGAGATTCTATAAATTACAAAGTGTGCATCATATTCTATGCAAGGGATGTACATACCTGTGACAGTTCACAGATGGGCAGGACCAACTCTTCAGTGATTCAGGCTCCACAGAAACCCATAACCTGCTCCCTTTGCAGTTTCCATGGCCACTCCCCTCTCCCTCCTTCCCTCTGTCTGCTAGCTGTGCACCTGTCATTCTCTATCCCTTGCTTCTGCTCCCAGCACTATTCATTTGCTTACTGGTGCATCCAGGCCCTGACAGTCAGCTCACTCACATGCTAACTGTCCAGCCTTCCCCCCTCTGATTTTTCCTCCTCTCAGCAGGCACTGGCTGTCAGACACATAGTCTCTCTGTTCTCCATCAGGGTGGAGATGACAGCTATCCTGGAGAAGCAGTATATGTGCAAGGGAAAAGTGCCCAGCTTCTCAGAGTAGGGCAGAGACATGGGCTCCAGTCCCAACTTTGTTAAAATTCAGCTTCCTCATCTATAAAACTAGAAAGTTAGGTTGTTCAGAGCTCCTAATCTTTTATATTATTCCATTTACTAAACTATCCATAGATTTACTCACTCAACAAGCACCTTTTGTGTATTTACCTTAATGGGCTTATGAAGCCATAAGCATGTGAGGCAGAAAGGATAGGCATTATTCTGCCCATTTTCCAGATGAGGACACTGACGCAGAGGGGTTCTATGCTGTGCCCAAAGTTCCACAGCCAGGAGGTCACAAAGCAGGGCTCAGCGTGCTGTCCTGATCCTCGCTGCCTCTGGGTTACCAGCTCTCTGGTCCGGGATTCATCCATCACTGCTGCTGTTTCAGGTCCAACTTCTTGAAGCTGAAGAGTGCTGCCACTCTGATCCAGAGGCACTGGCGGGGCCACAACTGCAGGAGGAACTATGGGCTGGTAAGCCTCCCCTGGCTGCCTTTTGAACCCTGCTGAGTTCTTAGGCAATAACCCACCTTTCATCCAGCCAAAGTCCAGGTCTAGGTCTTGTGACACATCTCAACCTTCTCCTGGAAGGTTGTGGTGGATTATGAGCATACTGGGGCCATTAGAGACCTGGGAGGGGGCTGGGAGTAGCTAGGTCACATGGACCTGTGCAGAACTACTGGCTGGACCTGGACTGGGGAGGTGTGCAGGAAAGCCACGGGTTAGTTACAGTTCCTGGTCTGAGGCTGGGGTCCTTCAGGAGCCCCATCTCAAGGAGAGCCAAAGCCACTGGCAGGAAACTTTCCCAATAGGAAGCAGACTTAATTATGGGGGCCCTGGTCTGAGTGGACACTGAGCTATGCCTGGGGGTCAGTCTGGGAGTGGAGGCCACCCACTGGAAGCTGCAGTGGCAGGGTCTACCTGGGCCAGGGCACGGGGGTCTGAGCGTGGACCGTGTCCTTGCAGATGCGTCTGGGCTTCCTGAGGCTACAGGCCCTGCACCGCTCCCGGAAGCTTCACCTGCAGTACTGCCTGGCCCGCAGGCACATCATCAAGTTCCAGGCACGCTGTCGCGCCTACCTGGTGCGCAAGGCCTTCCGCCACCGCCTCTGGGCCGTGCTGACCGTGCAGGCTTATGCCCGGGGCATGATTGCCCGCAGGCTGCACCGGCGCCTCAGGGCCGAGGTGAGGGGCCCCAAGTCACAGCATCCAGGGTCCTGAGCCCAAGAGAGGGTGTCTTGGAGATATGCGTCGCCTCTGGCAGACAGATCCCTCCAGGTGCTGACTGGGGATGCCAAGGAACCACAGGAGACTTTTGGCTAAGCCTGCTCCGTGGAGTGCACAAAACTGAAACCAGACCCCCATTTCCACCCTTCTAGCCAGGGCTGGGGTCCCAGTCGCCCTGTGGATTTGGGGAGGAGAGGCACCCCTGGTTTGGCCATACAGCCTCCACCCATGTGAGACCTGGGGAACAGCTCGGTAGCCTGTTTCCCTACCTGCCAAATTATTTGGCAAAGTTGCTCTCAGTTCCAGAACTCAAGGCGGGCTGGGCTGGAGCACAGGGAAGCATGGTGACAAATTCCAATGCCATCTGACTGGCCCTCTCCTCAGTACCGGAGGCGCCTGGAGGCAGAAAAGATGCGGCTGGCGGAGGAGGAGAAGCTCCGGAAGGAGATGAGCGCCAAGAAGGCCAAGGAGGAGGCTGAGCGCAAGCATCAGGTGGACAGAGGGTCTCCAGGCTCCCTGGCTCCGGCCTTCCCTCCATCGTCAGCTGCTTGATACCTGTCCCCACAACCTTCTTCCGTTTGACCAGGAGGGCCCTTCTTAGGCCCCCTCAGACACATCAGCTGAGGTCTCAGCCCTGCAAGGGATGGAGGGCTGTGACTTCAAAGGAGGCTGGTGCCCACACAGGCCTCATCGGGGATGACACCCAGATCAAAAGCCTGACGGGGAACGAGCCCAGAGCCATGTGTTCCAACACCAGCCACAAGTGTTACTGAGCCCTGCGGTGTGGCTCACTGAGTGACACACTGTCAGGAGTGAGAAGCGCACACTTGATTCTGAGGACTTAGTGGTAGGGGAAGAGTTCTTTTTATGTTAGTCACATGTTAAGATGATATTTGGGAAATATGAGTTAAACAGCATTAAAATTAATTTCACTTCTGTTTTACTCTTTAAAATGTGGCTGCCACACACACGTGGCTCACATATCGTTTTTCTTGGGCAGCTGTAGTGTAGCGCGCCAGTCCTGCAGCTGTGTGATGGGTTTGGTGTGGCTAGAGGCAGGGGAGGACAATGGAGCAGGAGGCCTGAAGGAGGTGTTTCTGGCTGACCCCTGGGGAGCATGTAGGGTCACTGTCCGGGCTTGTCCAGGGCCTCCTGTGGTCCAGAGGTACTTGGTTGGTGAGGGCTGAGCTGAGTGTGTCCTGGGCAGGGGAAGCCTGAGGTGCTGTCCTTCCCTGCACTCAGGGTCCCAGTAGAGGATGGGACACAGGCTGCCACTAGGCTCTCTTGGGCCCCAAGGGGAGCTGTTTCCTGAGGCTGTGGCAATGGTGCCAACTCCATCTTCTCTGCATCATCCCAACTTCAGGAGCGCCTAGCCCAGCTGGCCCGCGAGGATGCAGAGCGGGAGCTGAAGGAGAAGGAGGAGGCCCGGAGGAAGAAAGAGTTGCTGGAGCAGATGGAGCGGGCCCGCCATGAGCCCATCAACCACTCGGACATGGTGGACAAGATGTTTGGCTTCCTGGGGACTTCAGGTGGCCTGCCAGGCCAGGAGGGCCAAGCACCTAGTGGCTTTGAGGTACCAGGCTGGAGACAGAGGCCCCTATGCATGCCATGTGGTGACCCTCCCTCCTCTAATGTGGCCAGGCCACGTTAAAACCTGGCCCCTGTGAGAGAGGGCAACAGGAATGAATGGATAGGGGACTCCAGGTCGCAGACCCCACCCAGCCCATCTTCCGTGTGACCTTGGGCCATTCACTGTCCCTCTCCAAGGTCATTCTCAAATCTTATCCATTAGTTCTTGGGCAGCAGGCAGAGCCCACCATCCTGGAAGAGGGCAGGGTGCGGGACAGCAGACCAGCCCTGCCACGTGGAGGCCCATGTGGTAGGGAACTTCTCTACGTCTATCAGGACCTGGAGCGAGGGCGGAGAGAGATGGTAGAGGAGGACGTGGACGCAGCCCTGCCCCTGCCAGATGAGGACGAAGAGGACCTCTCCGAGTACAAATTTGCCAAGTTCGCGGCCACCTACTTCCAGGGCACAACCACACACTCCTATACCCGGCGGCCACTCAAACAGCCGCTCCTCTTCCATGATGACGAGGGAGACCAGCTGGTGAGGCCTGCCTGCCGCCAGGTCACTGCTAGCAGGGACTGGGGTAGAGCTGTGAATGCTACACTGGGTGGTGGCCCTGGTGGGCAGGGACCAGGTCTAATAGAATTAGTGCCCAGCTAAGGGCCAGACTGCCAGGTTGGAGTCTCTCCTGCCCTCTCCACACCCAGGTCTCCCCCATCTTTAGCAGTGTCCTTTGTCCTTCGTTCTGGCTTTCTGACATGTGCTCTGCCTCCAGGCAGCCCTGGCCGTCTGGATCACCATCCTCCGGTTCATGGGGGACCTCCCGGAGCCCAAGTACCACACGGCCATGAGTGACGGCAGCGAGAAGATCCCTGTGATGACCAAGATTTATGAGACCTTGGGCAAGAAGACTTACAAGAGGGAGCTGCAGGCCCTGCAGGGCGAGGGAGAGGTGAAGCTGTCATGTCCCCCGCTGAGGTCCCCCCAGGCAATTGGAGAGGGCTGTGTGGGATGCTCAGTGCTGGGTCCTTAGCAGGAGGACTCTGCATCATCCCTGTTCCCATGCTGCTCTGCCCACCTGTGGGAACAAATAAATGTGTGAAAGTTGTGTAAACTATAAAGTGCTGATCACAGCTGACTGCAGCAGAGCAGGCTTTGCTGCTGGAGCCAGCTCCTGAGTGACACACTGGGAGGCCTTGGGCAGGTCACTGCACTTTTCTGACTCTCAGGTTCCCATCTGCTGGTTGGCTGATGGGGCAGAGGCAGGGGATGGAGGTGGTAGCATGGAGTGTATCTTAAGCATTAGCGTGGAGGTGAGACGGTCTCCCAGGCACGGTCCCACCGTCCGGGGGCTTTGTGTCTGCTTTCTGTCTACTCACTTGCCCCTGACCCTGCAGGCCCAGCTTCCTGAGGGGCAGAAGAAGAGCAGTATGAGGCACAAGCTGGTGCATTTGACCCTGAAGAAGAAGTCCAAACTCACAGAAGAGGTAAGAGCAGACTTGGGTCTAATAGGCCTCAGTGCCTTTAAGTGTCCAGGTATGCAGCTGAGTTGGGAACTCCAGGAGCAGGAGTGGGTGCTGCCTGTCCTCAGGGACAGGAGAGCTTAGGGTGACTGGGCAGACAGGAGTGCACAAAAACAGGGGTGAACTCAGGCTGGGCCTGGCTTGAGGGTTTTCCAGAGTAGGGAGCCAACACAGGGAGGGGCTAAGTGGCATACGGTGAGGGAGGGCACTTCCTGCCAGCTTGTGCACTGTCGCATTTGGTCCAAGGACCATCCAGATGTGGGTCTTCCATGGTAGAAGGACTCACGAGCGTCAGCACCACTGACAGGTTTGAGCTCGTTCAGTCCCTCACCTGCCTCTTGAGCTACCCCAGGGCTGTCCAGGAGGGGGCCTGTCACGCACCTCCTCTTGTGTCTGCCACTCTCCTCTCTTTCCACTCTCTCTCACTGCATCTGGGCGGAGCATGGCGGTGCTGCTGCTGCTTCGTGGGACCAGAGAGGCCGGCCACATCAGGGCCAAGGGCCTTGTATCTGAGTGGTTGGAACTCGGGGTAAAAGTATCCACCCAGAGAGATGGGGGTCCTGCTTGGAATCAGGGGAGCAGGACCCATCCTGGCTGGAAGGGCCTCCCTGTGGTGGGCCTGGGTGCAGGGGGTCAAGGACACTGCACAGGAGCCTTATCCCAGAAGTGATAGCACCAAGTCGGTGCTCCCCAGCTGTGTGGGCCAGTTCTTGGTCCAACATCAGGTCAGTGGGTGGGGGAGGGGTAGTGACAGTCGCAGGGGCCAGTGGTGGGGCCCTAGTTCTCCTGCTTGCTCTGGGAAGGGACGGTGTAAGGTGTAGAAACCCTGTGTGACAGAATCCCGCCTCCTAACTTCACCTGCCCTGGTGGTGCCTGTTCCCCTGGCCCAGGTGACCAAGAGGCTGCACGATGGGGAGTCCACGGCGCAGGGTAACAGCATGCTGGAGGACCGGCCTACCTCCAACCTGGAGAAGCTGCACCTCATCATCGGCAACGGCCTCCTGCGGCCGGCACTGCGGTCAGTGACTGAGGGCCGTGGGCAAGGTTGCACGGGGCACCCGTGCCTCCCAGCAGGCTGGCTAAGTGGTGGCTCCATCACTTCAGCAAGAGATTTAGTGAAAAGGCCTGCACTCGACTCGTCTGCTGGCTAGCCCAGTTCCTTGGCCTCTCTAAGCCTCGGTTTTCTTGTCTATAAAGGGCAAGTAATGTGCCCAAGATACCAGACCTCGGTAGAGGGTCATTCCCATGTCCTTCCGGCTTTAACCCTGTCACTGCCAGCGCACCTTCAGTATCACCTTCAGCACAGCGTCACTTCAGCACACCTCAGCCCGCGTCAAGCTCACTGTGGGCAGCCTGCCTGGGGACCCTGCCATTGTCTCCTCTCCCCAGACCCTTGGGTGTCAGGGAGTAGGTGGGGAGACCCAGAAGTCACCATAGCAACTAAGGAATCAATCTCGCAGGGTGGGAGGGGTAGGTTCCTCTGAAAGCTGCCTCAGCACGGGTCATGGGTCCGGAGAGTGACCCCATGAACTTGTTTCACTGCTGGAAGGAATGCTGATGGGCCTGGGGTTGAGCCCCATCTTCCTGATGGGAAACTGCAGCAGAGAGTCAGGAAGAGACTTGCCCAGGTGTCACCTGGCCTCCCAGACTTTCTGCCTTCCTTGCTGGGCCTCCTTGCATTGCTCCCCGAGGTCAGTTGCCACCTTGCTAGAGGCTGCCCAGGGCTGTGCCCTCTAGGAGGAAAAGGTGGTCTCACTGTCACATCTGAGGCTGACTGTTCTGGAGTCACATGCCAGGAGCCCTGGACTAAGATTTGGCAGGCTGGGGTGGGATCCCAGCCTTGGCCTGCCCGTCTGTAATGTGAGCGGGGCCAGGTCATTCCAGCACAGGGGACAAGATTCTTGCTGGTCTATGGCACCACAGTCACATTCCCTTCACGTAGAGGATCATGCTTTGATCTGAGATTTTTGCCTGTCCTATTTTTTTGATATCTTAAGTGGCCTTTGTTTTATGAAACTATCAGAGTTTCAATGCAAGGAGGCCCAGCAAGGAAGGCAGAAAGTCTGGGAGGCCAGGTGACACCTGGGCAAGTCTCTTCCTGACTCTGCTGCAGTTTTCCCATCAGGAAGATGGGGCTCAACCCCAGGCCCATCAGCATTCCTTCCAGCAGTGAAACAAGTTCATGGGGTCACTCTCCGGACCCATGACCCGTGCTGAGGCTGGGTAGGGTGCATGTGCATGTACTTTGAACCCTTATCAGCCCGTGAACTCTCAAAACTGGGGAGCCCAGAATCAGATAATCCAGCGTCCTTCCCCAGGGATGCCCTGGGAGAGAGAAGAGGAGTGGTGAGTGCCCCCTGGTGGTCACTGTGTCACCATGGGTCCACCTAATGGTCCTGAGCAGGCAGGCTGCCCTCAGAGTGCCCAGCTTGCACACAGTGGCCGTGACCATGACAGCTGCCCTGTCCCGGAGGCTCATTGCGCTCAGCTTGTGCTGGCTGCTGTATAAGCAAGCCTCCTGGTTTTTCTGCTCAGCAATCCTTTTAATGAAAACAAAAAGTTGCCTTTATTGTTTTTGTATCTCATGGAATGCTACATTCAGATGTTATAGACATCCAGGAAGAACGAGCCCCTGGGACGCTCCCCAATGCCTGCCTTTTTTCCTGCTTGGCCAATTGCCATTACTTGCAACTGTCCCTGCTTTCCTGACTGGGCTGTGATCAGAGAAGTTGGCTCACCTGCTTGGGTCACCCAGTGGGTTAGGGAAAAAGCAGGTCTGTATTTTTTGTCAGTGTGGTCACTGTGCCCAGCTCATGCCACCCTGCGGATGGTGGGCCCTGGCTGTGGCATCTGTGAGTTAGCAACTCTCCTCATGCTTGACAATCCATCTGTGAAGTGAGGCCCTGGTCCTTAGTTCCAGGCACCTGTCCTGAGCCTTCCCCGCCCAGTCCCTCTGCTGCCTCCTGGACAGCCTCAGGCAGATGGGATGGGACAGCCTGTTGTGTGTCACCTGTTGCTGGAAGGGATGGACTGAGGTATCCCTCTGAGGTGACATCCCCTCCTCCAGGGATGAGATCTATTGCCAGATCAGCAAGCAGCTCACCCACAATCCCTCCAAGAGCAGCTATGCCAGGGGCTGGATCCTCATGTCTCTCTGCGTGGGCTGCTTCGCCCCCTCCGAGAAGTTTGTTAAGGTAGGGGAGGTGCCTGGGTGGGAAAGGGTCCTGTCCTGGCATTGAGAGGACAGAGCAGAGGAAGAGCCCTTGCCTAGGTCCTCTTAGGTATGGCTGCCTCCCCTCCCACACATCCTGGTGCCCCTCTGCCCAGGCAACCAGTGCTTGGCTCTTCCTCCTCTCAGTCCCATTCTGCTGGGATTGAGTGACAGGAATGTGTCCTGGGTCCCCTGGGTGCTTGTTAGGGCTGTGAGGGTGGAGGAGGTGGGGGAGTCTCCATTAGGCCCTTGAGGAAAAGAGCAGTTGCTCTAGTGAGGTGGGGGCGGGAGAGCTGTTGAAGGGGAGGGAGGGAGGGGGACACAGGAGATGTAGCTGGAATAGGTGGGGCTGACTGTCACAGTGTGTGAACTTGGCACCTAGTGCAGTGGGTAGTCCTTCGTGAAGAACAGGTTCTGAGTATGGGTGTGTGGACTGGCGACTGCTGTAAGCTCCAGGTTGGGAAGGCCCAGGGGGGCTGGGGTGGGGATGCCTCATTAGGGTCCCTTTTCTGCAGTACCTCAGGAACTTCATCCATGGGGGACCGCCTGGCTATGCCCCTTACTGTGAGGAGCGCCTGAGGAGGACCTTCGTCAATGGGACCCGGACACAGCCGCCCAGCTGGCTAGAGCTGCAGGTTGGCCCCAGCCCACCTGGCACACATACATTCTTTGTACTGTAGTGTCCCAAAAATGCTCCCTACTTTGGGATTCTGTGGTTCCTCAAGTCCCCACCCTCAGGTTCTAGAATCCCAGGTCCCCTGGAACAGAAAAGCCCCAAAGAATCATTGACTCCCATTTGCTGGCCTTACGCCAAAGTGACTTGTGTGAAGTCATTCCCTCTGTGTCCCTGAGTACCACCAGCAATGTGGGGTGATGGCGTGTGATCTGGTGATGGTTATGCTGACTGAGGGCACACGCCCTGCCTGGAGTAGATCCTGGCCTCCCAGCCCCAGTGCCCTGGCTCAGAGGCCCTGAAGGTCCCACCAAGCTCCAAGATAGGCTGAGCAGCAGGGCTTCCTGGGCACTGTGAGAGGGCTGTGCAGCGTCCAGCTGGATGTTAGAGGTCTGGGGTTCAGAGGCAGTGTCAGCCTCACAGGGAGTGGGGAGTCCAGAGAGAGTGAACAGGTCTGAAGTGAGGGGACCCCACAAACCTTCTTGGTCACTCCTAGGCCACTAAGTCCAAGAAACCCATCATGTTGCCTGTGACATTCATGGATGGGACCACCAAGACCCTGTTGACAGACTCGGCAACCACAGCCAAGGAGCTGTGCAATGCACTGGCCGACAAGATCTCACTCAAGGACCGCTTTGGCTTCTCCCTCTACATCGCCCTGTTTGATAAGGTATGGTGCCTGCAGCACAGCCCGCCCCTGGCACCACTCTGAGCCCACCCAAGTGCTGCCTCCTACAGGCTCAGGTGACCTCGCATGGGTCACTGAAGCCGGGGGTCACCCCAGCTCTGCCAGACTCAGGATAGTGAAGACCATGGGAATGTAGTTCATAGCAGGTTGTCACAGCAACCTGTGACATGTGTCACACCTGATGTGTGACATGAGGGCCTTTACTTTCACATCCTTCAGCAGCTGGCGTGTGAGCTCCCCTGGCTCAGGGATCATAGCCTTCTCCACTGAGCTGGACCTGGGGCTTTGGGGCCCTCTCTGCTCAGCAGGTCCCGTGGCTGGGCACAGTTTGTCCAGGTTTTCCTCACTGATAGACACAACCTGCATTGTCAGTGACAGTTTGCCCATAGTTTCACAAAGGACTTGCACTAGGAAACAGACCTCCCGTGTAACTGTGCCCATTGCTCAGGTTACAAAGACAGCAGTTGAGCCCATGGCTGGGGTCCAGGGGTTCCATTTGGGTCTGCCTCCTGGGGGACCTGGGGCAACTCCTTGCCTCTCTCTGGCCTTAGGTTTCTATTTGGACTAGGACAGTGACACAGTTGATGGCCCCTGGAGTCTTTCCCTGACCCTTGTGCCCACAGGTGTCGTCCTTGGGCAGTGGCAGTGACCACGTAATGGACGCCATCTCCCAGTGTGAGCAGTATGCCAAGGAGCAGGGTGCCCAGGAGCGCAATGCCCCATGGAGGCTGTTCTTCCGCAAAGAGGTCTTCACGCCTTGGCACAACCCCTCAGAAGACAGTGTGGCCACCAACCTCATCTACCAGCAGGTGGTTCGAGGAGTCAAGTTCGGAGAGTACAGGTGTGAGAAGGTGAGCAAGAGGGAATCCGCTGTCCTTGCTGCGCCCATGGTCACTTGCTACCCACATCTGCCACCCACTGACGGTGAGTGCTGAGGTTGGCCTGATAACAGCTGGGCATCCTCCAGGCTCCTCCTAGATTCAACACTGCTTTCTCACAGGAGTTGTGAGCAGGAGAAGTGATAGGGTTGACTAATGTCCTGATTCTTCACTAAGTGTCCCTACTCTGTCACAGTGACTGTGTGTGGTACAGCGTACCTACTAGTGATAACTGAGTTAGCCCAGTGAACTCTGCGCTGCAGAAGAGATTCAGCTATTCAAACCAGAGTGTGCAAAAGCGTAGCCTTGTGTTTCCTTCTGAGGAGGAGCGGTGTGGCTATCTTGTGTTTGGTGAGGCGCTTGTGGTTCTGTTGAGGACTGTGATGGACGGAAGATGGACATGCTGGCAATGAAGACAGCAGTTGCGGGTAGAGATGGCATTGTTGGTGGTGGCAGTGTTGATGGTGACGATGGTGTTTATTGCTATTGCTGCGATGGTGGTGGTGTAGACGGTGATAATATTCAGTCCAAGTGTGTTAGAACTGCCATAGTAGCTAAAGTTCTCAAATGCTCCAAACTCACTGGGGAACGTCTGTAGCCTTCCAGGCCCCCAAGAGCCTTTCTCTGTTGTTTCTGCTGCTGGAGCCATGGGGGCTGCAGGTGGGCACCACCAGCTGCCACGTGGAGAAGGGGTGACTGCCCGGTGCCGCAGCTCTGTGCAGCCCCCACGCCAGAGCCTACTGCCTGTGAACTTGTTGACTCCTCCCCCCGGGCATAGTGGTGGGGATGGAAATGGTAATGGTGATGTAGTCCCCACTCTGAGTGCTCCCAGTGGTCCCTAGGTGTGCCACGCTCCAGGACAGGCACTTCCTCTTTTGTTTGCTGTCAGCCCTGGTTGCTGCTGCACAGGGCTGAGCGTGCAGTGGCTGCCCCCTACGGACAGGCTGGCTGCTCTCTTTGGGTCAGTTCATAAGCCTGGGGTTAATTCCAGCTCGTGCTAGTCTAAGGGGACCAGGGGAAGGCAAGAGTGTGGCCTTGCCCCTAGGAAGCTCACAGTTCCTGAACAGATAAGACCACCATAATGAATAAGAAGGAACTCAGGGTACCTAGGGCCAGGATCCCAGAACTACAGGAGAGAGGCCTGGGGGCCTCAGTGGTGTGGAAGGGCACCCCCCGGGACAGGCCACAAGCCTGACTGAGGTCTCCTCCTCCAGGAGGATGACTTGGCTGAGCTGGCCTCTCAGCAGTACTTCGTGGACTATGGCTCTGAGATGATCCTGGAGCGCCTGCTGAACCTCGTGCCCACTTACATCCCCGACCGTGAGATCACACCCCTGAAGACACTGGAGAAGTGGGCCCAGTTGGCCATTGCTGCCCACAAGAAGGTGAGAAGGCCAGGAGGGGGCCTGGAGTAGAGGCAGGGGCCCAAGCAACAAAGGAGTCACAGCTCCTGCATGGCTGAGGGGCTTCCAGGGGACAGGGCCTCCAGTGGCCATTTCTCCACCATGGACATTGACTTCCGTGTGTCTTCTGTCACCTACTCTGGGTTTAATATGGATCAAACCCAGTTCTGCAGCCTCCTGAGATCGTGGGTGCTGAGTGGCCTCTCCTGTTCTTTAGCCAGCTGCTTACAGAGAGTGAGCCCTCAGGGGTACAGGGTGGATGCTGGAGGAAACTTTAGGAATCGCACCTACCTTTTTCCTAAAAGCACTCCAGCGCTCTTTGTGCCTGGGGACTCTGGGTATAGACCCCTGCCACACCCCTTGCTCAGAGCCCCAGGCCATGGCTAGATGTGAATAGCTCCCGTCTGAGGTAAAGGGACTGCTCAGGTAGAGGAGTGTCCAAGTGCGGAAAGGGCTGAGGACACTGGTTCTGGCAGGGGACCCGCAAGCCTCCCTGCCTCCAAGGCCCCTCTGTGTTGGAGTAGACTCAGCCTCACATGGCAGTTGCTGGGGGGGCTTCACTGATGCATTCTCTGGACCCCTACACCACATGCCTTTCCCTCGCCCAGGTGCACCCCACCCCAGCTCCTCGATAGCTTCTCCACCAGGCCCGGCCCCCCTCTCCAGTCCCTCAGAGGAAGAGTGGGACTTCCTGTGGGGAAAAAGAGAAACCTCTTCCTTTTCCTTGGCCTGCTCTTTTCCCTTGCCTTGGCATCTGGCCATTCTGCCTTCCAAACAGTTGCAGCCTCCATCAATTCCCACCCCCTCCGCTCAGGTCTCTAATACCTGGATTTGTCTATTCGGCCTCTGCAGAAATGCACTCTTGTGGTTTTGACATTGCCCACAATGCCACGTGTCCATTCCCCCACCCCCTTCCCCCTTCCTCCTTCCTCCTTCCAAGCCACTCCAACCCTCACACCTCTGCCACACAACACATCCTTGCCTCTGAGCGTGGTCCTGGAGCCTCCCGCCTGCACTCACTAGGATTTTTGGTTTTCCTGTCGCTGCTGCATTGGGAGCTTCCTAGGGGTGTCCCCCTTCTCCATCTTCATGCCCCCAGGCCTGCACAGAGGCAGGACCTCTTGCTTGGATAAGAGGAAGCAGGGTGGTGGGCTGATGGGAACAGGCAAGGCCATGATGCATGATGGGTACAGATGCCTGGGCCACCCATGTGAGCAGCAGGACAGTGGCTATCTAGAGCTTGCACATTGTTCCTCTCTGTCTTCTCCAGGGGATTTACACCCAGAGGAGAACTGATGCCCAGAAGGTCAAAGAGGATGTGGTCAATTACGCCCGCTTCAAGTGGCCCTTGCTCTTCTCCAGATTTTATGAAGCCTACAAATTCTCAGGTACCCTGGCTCCCAGGCTCTTGACCTTCATTCTGCAGCCCTAGACCACAGCAGAGCTGGACGTCCCCTCCCCCACCAGCAGGAGGTCTGCCCTGGGTCTTCTCAGGGCCTGCCACATGAGGGGGGGGGCAGCCTCTTTGCTGTTGGTATTGACTCCCTGGCACGTAGGAGGTGTCTATGGTGTACCAGGTGAAACAACTGCATGAGGGCTGGAGCCATTAAAGCACCTACTGTGTGTAGAAGAGGGAGACCTAGGGTTGGGGCAGGGCAGGGACTTATCCAGAGCTGGGATGTGAACAAAGCCACTTCCTGACCCAGCGCTCTCCTTCCCACCTCACCTTGGGTTTGGCTTATAGGGTAGCCAGGCTGAGCCTTAGTTTCCCCATTTGTGTACTCCACCCTAGCCACCTCTGTGCAGTTATGAGGGTTGGGAGGGCTGGGCCCAGGAGTGGGAGGCCTTCCCGTCAGCACTTCTGCCACTGCCCCAGGCCCCAGCCTCCCCAAGAGTGATGTCATTGTGGCTGTCAACTGGACGGGCGTCTACTTCGTGGATGAGCAGGAGCAGGTGCTTCTGGAGCTGTCCTTCCCAGAGATCATGGCTGTGTCCAGCAGCAGGTGACGAGGGCAGATGAGGCATGGGCGGCCGACAGGGGAGGGTGCAGGGTGCCTGCCGGGAGCATAGAGCCAGTGGAGTAAATGCCAGGGGAGTTTTTGTGGACTGAGAAGCACGGTGCCCAGAGGACTGTGGGGGCAGAGCCCTGTGACAGAGGGCTTCCCCAGCGGTGCGGTGCAGCGCCCCCATGCGGGGCTGGTAGAAATGTCTCTGTGCTGACACCTGCCAGCCATGGGCAGTGTCCAGCTCTGAGCAGACACATGGGACGCACTTGTGACAGATAGTTCTTATTATCTTGGAGCCTCAGTGGAGAAGGGGACAGACATTGAATAGGCCATTTTAGAGCAGGGATAGTGTGATGAAGACAAGGGGGCCTTCCTGGCAGAAGGGGCATCCAGGCTGAGACATGAAGGGTGAATAAGATTTAAATGGGTGACAGGCAGAGGGCTGGACCAGGGTGGGTCTGGCTGGATCAGGCCTTGCTCTTGCTGGGCATGTCTTCCTGTGACTGGGCCACGCTGACCAACTGGACTTGGTCTCCTTCAGGGAGTGCTGTGTCTCGCTCTTGCTGGGCTGCTTTGATCTGGGCTGTGCTGCACCTCACACGGGCCAGTCAGGACTGACCCCCACTGGGCCCTGTTCTCCGTGTTGGTCCTGTAGGGGAGCAAAGCTCACGGCCCCCAGCTTCACACTGGCCACCATCAAGGGGGATGAGTACACCTTCACATCCAGCAATGCTGAGGACATCCGTGACCTGGTGGTCACCTTCCTGGAGGGGCTGCGGAAGAGGTCTAAGTACACAGTGGCCCTGCAGGACAACCCCAACCCCGGTGAGTGACTGCTGGCATGGGGTCTTTGGCAGGCCATGTGCTTTGGGCTGACACTGAAAGCCACTGGTGCCTTGTGACCTAGCCTTCCTAGGTGCTGGACCAGACGGCCTCCTGGAGAATGGTCCTCAGCCATCCTTCCAGTCCTTGTTACTTTACCCCCCTGATACCTCCAAGTTAGGTCTGGGCCCTTTGCAGTGCTCTCCAAATACCCACTGCCTTCAAATTATGGGAGCATCTCCCAGGCCTCTGGGCCCTGCCTTCATGGAGAGGGAGGCAGGAAACAGTGACAGTCATGTGACAGCACAGTGACCAGGGAAGCCCAGAGGCCATGGGAGCTCGGAGGAGAGAATACCATGCAGCCTGGGGTTCAGGAAGGAAGCATGAGTGAGCAGGGGGTCTGAAGGCAGAGTGTGAACTAAGCACAGAGGCAGGAGAGACCTGGCATATCTGGGAACTGCAAAGAGTTCTGTCTGATTGCAGCAGGCGAGGAGTGACGTGGAAGGAGTCAGGGAGGCCAGCTCACAACAGGTTTCAGAGGATGGGCTTTCTCCTGAGAGACATGGGGAGCCACAGAAGGCTTTTGAGCTGGAGTGTGGCTCTCTTGGTTGGCTCTGAGTGGTGGGTGTGATAAGGTGGTGGCAGGTGGGCAGACATGAATGGAACCAGGCCTCAGTTCTTCAGGGGGAGCAGTGGCTGATTGATCGTCAACCCAGACAAAGATATTCCAACTCAATCCCTCTCTCTGCCCCCGTGTGGCCCCTCTCGCCTCTCTCTGAAGCGGGTGAGGAGTCGGGCTTTCTCAGCTTCGCCAAGGGAGATCTCATCATCCTGGACCATGACACGGGCGAGCAGGTCATGAACTCAGGCTGGGCCAATGGCATCAATGAGAGGACCAAGCAACGTGGGGACTTCCCCACAGATTGTGTGTACGTCATGCCCACTGTCACCACGCCACCTCGGGAGATTGTGGTATGTGGCCTGGCAGTGGCAGATGGGTGGGCAGCTCCTCTAGACCCCTCTTCATCCTCCTCTTATACTGAGATGGAGTGAGGAATTGTAATTGATTATTGGTCTGCAGCTTGAAGTATGGGCAGTACCAAACTTGCATTAGGTGTGGGGGGGTCTAGAAACCACATCAGATGAGGAACTGCCAAGGGGCAGGGGTTGGGAGAGTCCCGGAGGAGAGCTGTCACCCTGCGTGGTCTGAAAGGGAGTAGAGGCACCGCTGGGCCAGGGGGCCATGGTTCTTCAGGAGACCCCAGAGCACAGCAAGCCTGCAGTTTCTGGGCCAGGCTGGGTGACTAGTGGTTCACTGCCTACCTACCACGCTGGAGGCAGCAGTGACTTCAGGGCCACAGAGAGGAAAAGGCCCCAAGTGTCACCCCTCAGAGACAGATTTAGGAAGCTCCTGGCTTTGCCATTAGATCCCAGTGGTCCCAGTAGACAGCCCGTCTCTCGGCCCCCAGGCCCTGGTCACCATGACCCCTGACCAGAGGCAGGACGTCATCCGGCTCCTGCAGCTGCGGACAGCAGAGCCCGAGGTGCGGGCCAAGCCCTATACGCTGGAGGAGTTCTCCTGTGACTACTTCAGGTGACGCTGGGCTGTGGAAGGGCAGCAGGGACAGATGAGAGTGACAGGTACCTCCTACTCTGTGGTCAGGAGCTGGGTTACTTTGTGATGCCCCTGCCTGTGAGCAGGGCCTGGTCAGGGGCAGTGGGGACAGTTTCTGCCAGCCAGATTGTCTCTGTGTGGTCTGGCCGGCACCCTGTGCATTACTGTCACCTGTGCCTGCTGCGCTCACAGTCCTAGTGCAGAGCCAGGCAGGAAGACAGGCTGCTGGGGTCTGGGCAGTGGCTTCTGTACACCGCAGGGTGGGCGGAAGAGTCGGCCTGTCCCTGCCCTTGGCCTCCAGTGCAGAGGTTTGGTGTCACCCAGGCTGTGTGCGGGGGATGGGCGCTGACCGTGTCTGTACTGTGGCAGGCCCCCACCCAAGCACACCCTGAGCCGAGTCATGGCATCCACGGCCCGAGGCAAGGAGCGGCTGTGGAGCCACACGCGGGAGCCACTCAAGCAGGCGCTGCTCAAGAAGATACTGGGCAGCGAGGAGCTCTCACAGGAGGCCTGCGTGGCCTTCACTGATATCCATCCAGAAGGGCCAGAGCTGCCCCGGGCCTTCATGACATGTGGAGGTCCCCATATGAACACATGGCCCCTTGTGGGATGCAAGGGGCCACCTCACCATAGTCTCCTTTGACCCTGTCGTTCCATTGATTGATAAGTATGGTTCCCTGTGCTGGACTGGGCATGGAAACAGAGCTGTGACGAGAGCCAGTCCCCAGTTTCCTGGGGTGGCATACTGGCCAGAACCAGAGCTGGGAGGGGCCAGGCAGCCCCGTGGCCTGATACAGCCTGGGTGAGGCAGGGAAGGATGTAGTGTTTAGGCTGAGCCCTGAAAGCTGGGCAGGTCTTGGCCAGGCAAACAGGAGACAGGTAGGGAGGGCTCTAGAGAGAAGGAGCCGAATGCACCTTCTCTGAGGTAGAGCAACTGGGCTGATTCAAGGACACGAACTCATTCACATCTGGAGAGCAGATGTGAACGGACCAAGGGAAGGTGCCCAAGCCCAAAGCAGGAGGAACCCTGGGCAGGGCGGTGGCACAGTGGGAGTGGTGATTGGGAAGTCCACCTGGCTGCCATGAAGACTTGGGATGTGGGGTCATGGCCTGAGGCAGGGCGACCCATTAGGAGAGGTAGCAGGTCACACCCACTTTGTAATCAATAGCCAGAGGCTGAGCCCTTCCTTGACAAGCCCCTACCTGTGCTCAAGTACATGGGTGACTACCCATCCAAGAGGACACGCTCCGTCAATGAGCTCACAGACCAGATCTTTGAAGGGGCTCTGAAGGCCGAGCCCCTCAAGGACGAGGCATATGTGCAGATCCTGAAGCAGCTGACTGACAACCACATCAGGTGAGTGGCAGGCGGTGGTCACTCCCTCCCAAGGCAGCAGCTGCCTCTACCTGGAAGCAGGCCTTCCACACAGCAGGAGCCGCCCAGGGCCTCCTGGCCTAGCTTGGTCTGGGGCCCACGGTCCAGCTGTCCAGCCAGACACCGCAGGAAGTACAGTCTCATTGGTAGGATCATTCATCTCTTTCACAGCTGTAATTGTTACAGTACTTATGGTCTGAGAAGAATTTGCCTCAAAACAAGAAGTAGAAACAGTCAAACCAGCAAGTACTAATCTAGACTGACTTCAAGGATGTCCTCCATACATTTGAAAAGCCCACTGAGGAAGGAATCGAACCCCCTAAAGCTAGTTTCAAGCCAGCCCCATATCCTATATGTCTTTCTCTATACAAGATATTAATAAAACCACTTCATAACTCTGTCAAAATCAATTTGCAGGTTAAACCCTTGTATATCCTTACGGCTTATCCGTTTCAATTAGGACTTCAAGACGCCACATTACCTGTTATAGAATTAACACATACAAATACAATTAACACTAAATTAACTAAATGAACACATACAAATACAATAGATGCTCAAGAAGTTTAAACAACTGAACAATTTCACCAGCTATTATTCTTATTATGACTGCACACCTGTCAGCACCAAGGGGCAGGGCTGCAGCCCTCGGCCAGCCTCGTCCAAGGTTAGTTGCCCAGCTCCTCCAGTAAATCCTAGCCCCCCAGGCCCTGGCATCTCTAGCTTGTTATCACCCATCCCGTCCAGTCCTGGCTCAGCTGTCAGTGGGAAGCTGATGGGTTGGGATGGGGGTGTTGGGCCCAGAGGGTGTCACCTTCTCCTCCTTACTGGAGTTGGAGGGCAGACAGACACTCACCCCAGAAGCCCTACCTCTCCTCTTACTCCAGCTCCCACTTTCTCCCCAGCCTTGTCACTCTACAAGCACACTGGATCTTTCACACTGCCAAACCTCTATGCATACTGTACCCTTTCATTCCTTTCTTTTCATGTCAGAATTTGCTTCATCCTTCAAACCTCCTCTCCTCCTGGAAGCCCTCCAAGCTTTCCTGCCAGGTCCAAGGAGCCTACTGGTACTGGAGGGAGTCTTGAGGCTGGCCTAACTCCTTCCTGGGGAAAGTCTTGCTATGAAAGGGAAACCTCAGCTGAGCCACAGAAGTGCTCAGTAATGGTGGATTTTCATTCTGGCCTGGGGACGGTGTGTGGTCTGGCACAGGTGGGTGACCACACTGCAAGTAGCACTGAGTGGATCTAGCTGGTCCCAGTGACTCCCAAGGCCGCCTCCTGCAGGTACAGTGAGGAACGGGGCTGGGAGCTGCTCTGGCTGTGCACTGGCCTCTTCCCACCCAGCAACAGCCTCCTGCCACACGTGCAGCGCTTCCTGCAATCCCGCAAGCATTGCCCGCTGGCCATCGACTGCCTGCACCGGCTCCAGAAAGCTCTGAGGTACGTAGCCATCTTGGCAGGGGGCAGGCACCGGGAAGCCACAACTAACTATGGGACAAGCCCTTGGGGATAAGGGCATGACCACACAACCACAGAGCCTGTCTGTGAGTTCCACAGCTGCCAGCTATATCGGTGCCAGGACCTGCAGCCCCATCCTAGACACAGTTTGGGAGTCTGGCTGCTCTGAGGTACTTGGCTTATCCCTGCACCATACTTGGAGTGTCCCACCCACTTGGGCCACACTGCAGACTGCAGAGCCCTGTGCTCCCTGCACGGCCCTGTGCACCGGGCATGGTCACCGTTTCGTTCTGACTAGGAAGTTAGGGCACTGAGAAGCCAAGCAGCTGTCGCACTGTAGGACACGAGTATGGCTTACACTGGGGCTTATCCCAAAGTTTGGCCCTGCGAACCTAATTCCTCCCATTTCTGTCCCATTTCCAGAAATGGGTCCCGGAAGTACCCCCCGCACCTGGTAGAGGTGGAGGCCATCCAGCACAAAACCACCCAGATCTTCCACAAGGTCTACTTCCCGGACGACACAGATGAGGTGAAGTCCTGGCTTGTGGCACCACACCTGTGATCCTGACAGAGCAGGACACCCCAAGGTGTTCCTCATCTCCCCTGCCTCCTTCTGTCCCTCAGAGGAATCAAGTCCCAGTCAAAAGACCACAGACTCCCAGGATAGGGGAGCACTGGTTCCTAGAGTAGCTTCCCTAAGACAGGGGACCTGCTGGGCTCTGTCTTGGTGCCACCTTCCTGGTCCCAGGTCTATTCCTGAGAGTTCTCTTCTCCCTCCATCTGAACTTCACCAGACTCCCAAAGCGCCTGCCCAACCTGGGCTGCCTCCCCTCTCCCCCTTGACTTTGCTTTTCCTCTTCATCAAGTCTCTCCTTCCTGTTACCCTGTTCTCAAGTCCCTTGGCCTCTGCCATCACTCAGCTTGTACAGCCAGGTACTGGACCAGAAGGCCAAAGCCAGGGCCAAGTCCAAGTCCTGCCTGAAGGATGAGATCTGAGAAGACCCAGACAGGAGTTGCTTTTTCCTTTCTTCAAATGCCGTGTGCAGCTGTGGACCACGGGACTACCCTGATAGGGCGGGTGTCTTGAATGGGAGGGAGCTCAGTCTAGGAGATACAGGCAGAGTGTCACAGCAAGACCAGGAGCCAAGTGGCCCCCCTCAATCCCCCAGGCCTTCGAGGTGGAGTCCAGCACCAAGGCCAAGGACTTCTGCCAGAGTATCGCTGCCCGGCTGCTCCTCAAGTCCTCAGATGGATTCAGCCTCTTTGTTAAAATTGCAGACAAGGTGGGCCATTGGGTGTCTGCCTGTGTGTTAGGGGACTTGCTGGAGCCACAGGATCGCATGGAGGTGGGAGAGAGGGGTGGGGAGCCTCTGACTGTGCCCCTCCTCCTTACACTCCAGTAAGTTCCCTTTCCATGCCCCCTCTGCCCCTCAATCTCTCCTCTTTGGCGATGCACACTGTTTTACTTTATGCCCGGGCAGGACTGGACCGTGATCCTCCTATGTTTGCTTCCTACATAGCTGGGATGACAGGCCCATGCTATCACACCCAGCTTTTATTAGTCCAGATGGGGTCCTACAAACTATTTGCCCAGGGTGGCCTTGACCCACGATCCTCTGGATCTCTGCCTCCTGAGTAGCTGGGATTATAGCTATGAGCCATGGTGCCTGGCCTCAGGCACTCTTTATTCTGCACATACCATACTTCTCACATGTACTTTGCAGATTTGCTTTGCCTGGTCTCTCACATAACCCTTAAAGGTTACTGTGATTATTTCTATTTCATAGACTACAGAATGAGGGACACTGAGCCAGGTGTGTGTGGCTCTGCCCCCTCCTTCTCTGTCCCTGGAGGTCTTACAGGTTGAGCCATAAAGTCCCCACCCAAAGGGAAGGCTTCTCTGGCCATCTCAGGTAGAGCTGGGCCCTCCTTTCCATCACTGATGGCTTCTTGTATATCCACTTCATGTCTGTCCTTGTACCAGATGCTGAGGACCCAGAGGTGACCCCAATGAGGTCCTGCACTCAGAGGAGCTCAGATCCTGTGGGAGAAGCTGGATGCAATGCCAGGGAATGTCCTAGACTGGTGGTGTTCTGGGCCACGTTCCCTGGGGCAGCCTTCAGTGTCCTTGGCATTGAGTGGAATGACAGTGACTCTGGGCAGAAAGCGGCTCCTGTTCTGGAGATGCTTAGGCACAGTCAGGGGAGGGCAGGGCTGATACACAGAAACTTCCCCAGGCCAGGAGTGGAGTCTTTCTGGGGAATGGGCTGTCAGGAAGGCCTTGAGTGGGAAGGTCAGAAAGGCCAGTATTGCCTGAACTGAAGTGAATGGACTACGACAACCATGTCCCTAGGTCATCAGCGTCCCCGAAAACGACTTCTTCTTTGACTTTGTTCGACATCTGACAGACTGGATCAAGAAAGCACGGCCCATTAAGGATGGTAATGAGCTGGGTCCTGGGAGGGCCACAGAGGGCAGGTGAGGCTCGGGGTCATGCTGCAAGGCCGCGGGGCCACGGATATCATGCTGAGGCTGAGTGGCTGGCTTCCCTGGGCCACAGGAATCGTGCCATTGCTAACCTACCAGGTGTTCTTCATGAAGAAGCTGTGGACCACCACAGTGCCAGGCAAGGACCCCATGGCCGACTCCATCTTCCACTATTACCAGGTGAGCCGCCCAGGGCCTTCCTGGTCCTCTGGCCTCCAGGTGCCACCAGCCTTGCTGTGCTTTGACTTGGAAAGCTGAGACCTGCTGCCCTTGCCAGGCAAGGTCTGTGACAGCCGCCTCAAGACCCCTGCAGCCCCAGGGAGGCCCAACTTCAGATCTTCTGCCTGCTTATCTCCCAGTGTGATTCTTCGTCCTCTGAGCTCCTAGTTGCAGCCAATTCAGGCCTCTGCTTCAGTGCCTGGCTGTCCTCTGAAGTCAGGGTTCTGCTGCAGGCCTCTGGCACAGCCTGCCCTGGAAGGAAGCCAGAGGGAAGCTCACATGCTGAGCCTCAGTTATGTGTCAGGTGTCTCCCTCCCTCTGTCCTTCCAGTTAACTCAAGAAGTAGGTGTGTCATTCCTGTTTTATAGAGGAACAGACGGAGGGGCTAAGTGATGTAGTTAAGGCCCACAGCTGATGAAACTGGGGTTTTAGTCCAGGTCTTCATTACTGCAGATCAGTGTTGTTTTTTTGTTTTTTTTTTTTTCTGGGATGCTGCCAGCCCCCCATTCTGAGAGGGAGACCGACCATGGTCTCAGTCACTTACTTGATAATTTTTACCTCTTGAGAGCTAAAGCCCACCTGCATCTTCCCACAGCCACCCCTACCAACCTGGGTCAGCCCAGGTGACAGCGGGGACCTTCTCCCTGGTCTCCCCTACTGGTTTTTAATCCACTCGGCCCAGTTAGTCATCCTGCTTTCCAGAGCCTCTCAGTGGTTTCCTGTAGCTCTGGAGGTCTAACCCCAAATCCATACTTGGCTCCTCATGATGGGGCCACTGCCTCCTTTGGCCTCCTCTGATACCTGGCACCTTTAGCTCAGATTGCTCCAGCTGTTTTTTCATAGTCTCATGTCTGCCTCTGGCCTTCACAATGCTATCCCTATCTGGGACTCTCTGCTCTCTCCACTCCTTCCCTTGCCTACTGAGCTTTCAAATGCCTTATCCCAGAGGAAGTCTTCCTTGTCCCCAAGCCTAGAGCATGTCACCTTGTTATATGGTCTCAGCACTGTGAGCAATTCCTTCCAAGATTGTCATTGTATATCAGTTTGGTGTGATTATTAATGCCTTTCTGTGGCTTGAGACTTTAAATTCCATGTGAGCAGGGAGAATGTGTGTTGTTGCTTCAAGGGCCTGGTTCATGGTAGATGATTGGATGAGTAGGTGAACTGATGGTTCAGTGAATGGATGATTGGAATGAATTTATGTATGGTGAGGTGGGTGGATGGATGGACAAATAGGGAAATGGATGGAAAGGAGGATGTGGATGTGTAGGTAGGTAGACTGATAAATGGGTGGGTAGGTGAAAAAGTAGATGGCAAGTGGTTGACTCAGATCTCTGATGGGCAGCGTGTCCTCAGGTGGGTCTGTTTTCTACCCTTCTGGTAGAGGATAAGATGATCCTAAGGCTCCAGGAACCTGTGGGCAGTGCTGCTCTTCAGGGGCTTCATCTCTGCCTGGTCCACTTCTCCTCCTCAGCTGCTCTGGTTCTGGGTCTGAAAGTTCAAGGGGGTGGGAGAGCCGGCATTGCTGCTGAAACCAGCCAGTCCTCAGGGGATACAATGGGAGGAGGCTCTTCAAGGGGGGCCATTCGGGAGAGGAGGAGTGTGGAACAGTCCCAGGCCTACTAGCTGGTCACTCTGAGTTTCTTCATCTTTGAAGTAAGATATCGCTCATCTCACCATTAGGAGGGCCAAATGGGACAAAGTTCCAACATGGCCATGCTTTCCAACTATAAAGTGCTGAACCTGTGCAGGCACGTTTGCTACTTCCCTGTCCTGTGCTTTTCCTCTGGGGAGCAGTCAGCTAAGGCTGGAGAACTGGCGGGGGTGGGGCAGGAGCCCCCAGCCTGGAGGGGATGGGGAAGGAGCTTCCTTCCCCCAGGTCCTTCCAGTCCTGTGACCTGCTCTGTTTCTGGCAGGAGCTGCCCAAGTATCTCCGAGGCTACCACAAGTGCACGCGGGAGGAGGTACTGCAGCTGGGGGCGCTGATCTACAGGGTAAAGTTTGAGGAAGACAAGTCCTATTTCCCTAGCATCCCCAAGCTGCTGAGGGAGCTGGTGCCCCAGGACCTCATTCGGCAAATCTCCCCTGACGACTGGAAGCGGGTAAGTGTGAGGGGAACAGCAAGAACAAGGGACCCCTCAATGGGTCTTTGGCTACTACAGGGGTCAAGGCAAGCAGGTAGTGGCCACCAGCTCAGGGGAGTGCCTCTGTGGCTCCTGTGTGCCTCCACCTGCTTCACTCTAGTTCTGTATGCAAAACATCTCGTGGTTCCATGGTAAAATATTTGCTTGTTTCTAGTTGCCAGGGTGCCCTGGTTTTACATCATACTCTCTGGTCTACCTGCCTCGGGGAGGGGAGAGATTAGAGTTGATGAACTGGGATGGGGGATGCCTGTTTATGCCTGGCCCCAAAGGTGCAGACAGGCAGGATGTGGGGAGAGCTGTGTCTGCCCTCACCCACCTTCCCCTGCAGTCCATCGTCGCCTACTTCAACAAGCATGCGGGAAAGTCCAAGGAGGAGGCCAAGCTAGCCTTCCTGAAGCTCATCTTCAAGTGGCCGACCTTTGGCTCAGCTTTCTTCGAGGTGAAGGTATGCCACAGGGGTTCCCAGAGAGGAAAGGGGGGCAGAGGGACGGTACAGAGATTCCTGCTTGGAACTGAGGGAAACTGCCCTGCCCTGGTGAGGAAAGGAAGGACGCACCCTCAGCTTTGGCCATCCTAGTGTCTTGGCTCAGCCTTGAGCTCGATCTGGGAACAGAGGGACCAGAAACTCAGCCTAGAATGGAGGGTGGCCTGTGCTATGACACTGGGGAGCCCTCATGAGATGGCAGAGCCCTGGAGGCCCTCCTCAGACTGAGCAGGTAGCCTGGGGAGAAGGTAACCTCTTAAGTTGACAGAGATATTGATTCTGGCATGGGCCCTGCATGGGCAAAGGCCCCCAGGCCTGAGAGCTCAGGTCTGGGCAGGAAATGCAAGGGGCTAAGTATGGCTGGGTGTGAGAGAGCTAGCTGGCTGCGGGCAAGCAGGTAAGGAAGCGGGGCCTCCTTCTGTAGGTGACTGAAAGTTTTGGAGAGTTTGAACAGGGTTGGCAGTGCCAGGCAGCTGCTTAGGCCACAGGGTGGAGGACAGAGCAGAGGGGCATGACCAGAGGCAGAAGAATGTTGAAGAGGCTCTGAGAAACCTGGCTATGTAAGGAGCAGAGGGTAGGTAGCTGACTGGAGGTAGGCATAGGGCTCAAGGAGGGCTTTTAAGTATGGGACACCTTTGGACTGAGAGAAAGGACATGGCAAAGCCTCCTAGGGAAAAGAAGACGGAGAGAAGTGATGCCAGGGACCTGAAGTGAAGGGACATTGGGCAGCACCTGGGGGTCTGCAGAGGCAGAAACCCTGAGGTCACTGATGGACTGCCAGAGATAGGCAGCAAGCCAGGTTGACTTAATCCTCTCTGGAGGTGGTGGCATGCCTGTCCTCAAATGCTTTCCCTGCCTGCCCTGGAACCCCATGTCTCATGGTTTCCCATCTTTCTTTGCCAGCAAACCACAGAGCCAAACTTCCCTGAGATCCTCTTAATTGCCATCAACAAGTATGGGGTGAGCCTTATCGATCCCAGAACGAAGGTGAGCAGGGACAAGAATGAGCAGGTGGAGGTGGGCTTCTCTGCCTGCACCATTAACCACAGTTTCAGACAAGCTCCTTGCCAGCCACTGTCCCCACTCCTCGACATGCATCTTGAAAGGCTATCTGTGATTTCCTTGTCTACTTCCTTGCCCCTTCCAGCATCACTGTATACTACAAACTGCTCCCTTCTCTAGAATATTCTCTGCCCATGTTAGTTAGGGTGGCAGCCTGTGCTGGGGTAACCATGGTTATGGGTCAGGAAGCCCAGTCTCACCATGTCCCCAGAAGGGGCACAATTGGAAGAGCACAAATGGCTATCTTCCCTTGGCTTCATGTATTCTTGGTTTCCTATCTGTTTTGATCATTTCTTCTTACCCAGCCCATATACAGTGTGTCCTCTGAGGCTCTGTCCTGCTTTCTTCTTGGTTCCCTTCACAAACTTGCCCTGGCCATCTCATCTAGTGCCACATTGTCAGCTCCACCCCTACCCACACAGGCCTCCTGGGTTCCAATTTTGGCCCCAACTACCCAACAACCTCCTGGACTTCCTCAGGTATCCATCTAGCTGGCCCCAGCCAAAGCATGGAGGAAAGGGGCCTACCTCCCCCAGTAGCTCCCTGCAGAGCTAGCCTCGCCTTCTTGCTCCTTTTCTCACCTGAGGGTCCCAGGTGAGAGGGTGTCTATGAGCTGGAGCAAGTGAGACCAGAAGGTCTGTGCTGTGCAGCTTCCTGCCTTTCTGCTCTCCCAGGACATCCTGACAACTCACCCCTTCACCAAAATTTCAAACTGGAGCAGCGGCAACACTTACTTCCACATCACCATTGGAAACCTAGTCCGTGGGAGCAAACTGCTCTGTGAGACATCACTGGTGAGAGCTCCTCCTCTCCAGCCTGGCGTGGTCCCCAGAACAAACATGACGGTGTGCAGTGTGGCCAGGGAACATGGTCTAGGGTCAGGTTGAGCCTGGGCTTAGGTCTGGGGAAGGGTGCAAGCTGAGGCCCCTCATTTAAAAACTCCAGTTTCAGCATCCAGGGATTGAGCTTGTGGTTGTTGGACTTTAGCTCCTATGTTCAATAGGAGAACCATCAGCAACAGGCCCTGGACTGAATTCTGTAACTTTGAAGGTGTACTTCAACTCGTAGCCTTTATTTAGTCACTCCTGGAGGGAGGCATTCAGGATTTGAGGGACCACAAGCTGGGGACTTAATGTGGTCATTAAGCTGGTCATCCAGCTTAGAACCTGAGCCATTTGGCTGGATGAATCCAGCCCCTTAGATGTGTAGATGGGGAGACCAAGTTCTGAGCCAAGGAGGAGTTGGCCTGGTCTTGGGAGCTGTGGCTGGGTCTGACCCTTGTCCCACTTGTGCTGCTTATCTTCTCATCTCTGCTTGCAGGGCTACAAGATGGATGACCTCCTGACTTCTTACATTAGCCAGATGCTTACTGCCATGAGCAAACAGCGAGGCTCCAGGAGTGGCAAGTGAACAGTGGGTGGGAGAGTGCAGGCTCTGTGCCTGCTGCTTGGGCCCATCAGCTACCCCTACAGGTGGGAGAAGTTTTGCCATCCAGGCGGGGACATTGGGCTGGCCACAAACTGGGCCTCTGAGCCATTTTGTGTGAGATCAGAACTTCCTGCATTCACCCATGCACCTGGGTTAGTTCCTGTCCTAGCTTACTGTAGCCTTTCCAGTGCTCTTTGGATGCCCCTCCTGACTCAGACCAGCCCTGCCACATGATCCCCTTTGACTTTCTGTGCACCAAGGGGCCAGGGGAATTGAGAGGACAACCCAGCTGTAGACATTGGGAACAACCACAGTGTACATTGAGCAAGGATACTCTGAAACCCAGGGGACTGGGTTGCTTCCCCTAAGTCCAGCATCATCAGCTGGGATGAGGCAGACAGACTACCTTTGTACATTACAGTGTGAGTGCTGGGTCCCTGCTGTCTCCCTGATCACCTCAGGGCATAAAGCATGTGTTTATCCTCTGGCCCTGCAGTGTCCTTCCTGGGAGAAGGGGTGTGGGGTCCCCTACAGGGCAGGGACCTGTAGGGGAGTGGCCTGCTTCCTCTGTGCCTGCCAGGCTAAGCTGGTCTGGGCTTTGGAGTGCTTGAGCTCAGAGTGTGTGAAAACATCCTAAAGAATCCAGCTGAGCAAGGCAGGTTGGGGAAAGCCGGACATCAGTCTTGAGCGGTAGAGGCCTATGTGTGCAAAGGCTGGGGTCTAGAGAAGGAGTCAGCTTTTGGCTCCTAATTAGTGCCACTGGAGACATAATGGCCTTTGTACCCTGCCAGAAACTTCTCCTTGGCTTATCAAGACATGTCCAAAAACCCTAAGAACAACACTGCCTTGGCTTAAATCCTTGCATCCAGTGGATATCTGCAAAATACTGCTTTGTGACTACGATGAAACTAATAAGTTTGGTGTGATTGGGGTAGGTCTGAGGGTGCAGGCTTCAGGTGGGTCAGGGGTGATAACTTCTGGGCTGCAGCTGGGATGAATAACTAGCGATGTGATGGTGAAAAATCCTTAGAGGTGGGAGTGTTTGTGACCTATCCTCAAGGTCTCTTTGATACTGAAGGGGGGGGCTAGGTCCCTCTTGCCCTCACATGTTCAAATGTCAGGGCCATCCACATCTAAGTGCCTGACCAACCCTTAGGGAGTGCTGCTTCTGATCCCCCAGCTGCCTGTGTAGGAGGGAGGGGCTGGTGTGTGTGAGTGGAGGTCCCAAACCAGCCAGCCCCATTCTCTGTGACAATGATGTGGAGTCAAGAGGAGGTAGCCTGCCCCACTAATGTCCGCATGGCTCCACAGTATTAAGATCAATCTGGGCCAGAGGAAAGTGCTGTGGTGTTTTGCCCCCCCCATCATATCATGCCCAAGGGGCACTAAGCCCCAGAGAAACAGTGTGACTAGGTGAAGGTCACACAGTGCAACTCAACTCACTCCTGCTTGTCTTCAGGCTCCCCAGTCAGAGCTTCCGATGCTTGCTGTAAGCTCTAGTTTCCCCTTAAGGTCAAAGGCTACTCACTGAGTGAACATGGAGTCATCCCCATCACCACACTGGGTAATCAGTGAACCACATACTGCACGCTGTAGCAGAGAATGTGTGTGGGAAGAATGCTTTGTCTGACTAATGCCCATGCCACCTCAGCTCCCTGACTCAGGATGACATCACTAAGGGATGTTCCCATCCTCCATCTGTCAGCCTGGGTGATCACTCGCCAAAGAATATATCGCTTACCTTCTGGGTTCTTGAGAGGTTGTCTTTATTACATGCTGCTGTCACCAGTCACGCAGGTGTTGAGACAACCCTGTAATACCCACTTCTAGTTCCAAGACCACACACCATTGTTTCCTCTTCACCATCCCTTGAAAGATGCATTTTATATAGAGAGGCTGGGCCAGAATGGTTCTCCTCAAAGTCCCTTCTGTATGCCTTCCTGATCACTCCCCACCATCACCCACCCTTAAGCACAGAGAGGAAGAGGAAGAAGGGGGCGAGGTATGGCTAATCCTTCTTTGGAGATTTCATCTCATAGGAGTCTGACATGGTGGAATAGGCCGTTACATAAGTTTCATAAGTTTCTCTGGAGGACTGTGACATGGAGGTCTTTTGGTGTGCTTCAGGATGGGGGCTCTCTACGAAGGGCACTGCTGATTCATCTGCCTTCAAGATGGGTGATGTGGTCTGGGGGGCATCCTTGCTGGTGGCCTCTAAGGTGGGTGCTTGGGTGTGTTCAAAGACCTGAATGGGCTCCACTAGGTTAACAGTGTTCATGATAGGCTCTGGTTTCATCTTGGGATGAAAGCTCTTGGGGGCTTGGGCAAAATGGGGAGAGCCTGGCTGCTGCTTTGAGCTCCTGGGTGAAGCTGTGTGGAGGGCTGCTACAGTCCAAGGACGTTCCACAATTCGATCAGGAGGCTTCCTAGATAAGTGCACAGCTTCTTGATTTTCACCTTTTTCATTTGGGAGGTTTATGTTCTGGTTATCTGTGGGATAGAAAAGATATAAACACAGATTCTCAAATGCTACTTCTTCATTCCATGCCAATCAGGTGTGAAATCCATGTTCTCTCTCAAGTGTTAGTGCCTCACTTTCCCTTCTTAAGTTCTTCCCCTCTCTCTCAGGCCTTGTGAAAGCTTTATTGTGGCCTGGGGCTGGGGGTTAAGAGTCTACTGTGAGACTCTAGATTACCATGGAAGGACTCAGGCAAGGAGGACTGTTATTTCCTTGATGTTTATATGTTCATAACCACTGATTATTCATTTTTCTAACTTAACTGGTTAGTATTCTCAACTACCATGGGAGCTTTTTAAGTTTTTAAGGACAGAGACTTAAGACTTACCTGCTACTACCATACACAGTGTTCAGAAGTGTCTGTCATATAATAAGTGCTAAATAAATAATTTTTGTTTGACTAATAGAAAAAAAGGAGTGATAGAAGTTTCTAGTAAAGAGCTAGGAAATCCAGACCAATCCGTAATTTCAAAGAGAAATTAAAACTCAGATGATCTACAAAAACAAAATATCTCAAAATCGCCAGTGTTTACAATATGGTGAGGAATGGGAGGAGGGGGGGCCAAAATCTAGAGAAAATAATTCAAAGTGAGCCCAGAACTCAAAAGTTGTTCTTGTCCTAAGTATATTTCCTTCTGAAAGAAATAGTAGCACATGTGAGATTTTCTGTCTGTTTCACAGGAGGAAGGGGATTTTTACTAGACTGAATTTATAGGTTAGTTCCATGACAAGTCTTGGTTTTCTAATTTATGAACGTGATATGTAGTCCAATTATTTGGGTCTTCTCTCAGTAAGGTTTTGTAGTTTCCAGAAGTCAATCATACATCTTCCTTTTTCAGGACTTAAAAAGATATGTCTGAGTATGAGTACCCCTGCGCCTTTGGCTTTGTAATGTGCATGGAACACTTGTGTTTGGCCTTCCACTTTCACTCTATTTGTCTTTCTGGATCTACACTGAGTGTCTCACAGATAGCAACCACATCATGTTTTTCTAAATCCATTCTGCAACTCCCTCCCTCCTGATCCTCCTGTCTCCCAAGTGCTGGGATTCCAGGCACATACAACTATCCTCTTTTTTTTTTTTTTTTTGGAGAGTTTAATCCATATACATTTAAGGTAATAAGAGACTACTTCTGTCATTTTTCTGTTTATTTTTCTGTTTTCTACATGCCTTATAGGGTTTTTTTGGTCCTTCATTTCCTACATCTCTTTGCCGAGTTATTCTTCCTACAGAGTTCCTTGAGTTTCTGGATATTTATGTTCATGTCTTTCATGAAATATTAATAAGCTGACTGAGACTGATCAATAGTTTGAAAATAAGTGCACAAAATTATTAAAGGCTATGACTGTATATGCTAAAATCATCTATAATAATGAGAGAGGACATTATATACACCAATAAATGTTAAACTTTTGATCAGTAGTTCTCAAACTGTCATTTAGGGAACTAAATAAGGTCTCTGAATCCTTGAAACCAAAATTGTCTGCATAATAGTAATATTATTCACCACTTTCTTTCTCACTCCTGCATCAATGTCCAATTGAGTTTTTTTTTAGAGGCCACATGACAGGTGATGTTGCATGAGATGGAATCCAGACATTAAAGAGATTTGCAAAAATGTAAAATAATTCCATACTTCTCACTTGTTTTGTAGTTAAATAGCCTATAAAAATTTTTGAAAAATAATGGTAGATAGTAGACATGGTAAGAATCAGGAAAATATCCATATCCAGAAGTATCAGTTAATAGAAATAGATCCTAAAGTAATTAAACTATTGTAACTATGCTCAGATATCTAAAGGAAACAATATAATGAAGGAGAAAAGGGGAAATATAAAAGAACTGAATGGAATGTCTACATATTTGAAGTAAATGTTCACTATTTGAAATTAACAGACATTGTAGAAGAAAAAGTCAGTGAAGCTGAAGGGGAGGAGAGGCAGAATTCCATGACAGCCTCTGGTATCTGTCCTTTGACTGGGGTGGCACCTATGACTATGATGGGATACAGCAAGGACAAAGGCAATGAGATCATTGCTCCCATGGTTATATCATATCATATGAGACTCCATGACAGCTGGCTGGACAGATAATTCTCTTGCTGGCTTTGAAGAAGTTGCCATGAGCGATGTGGCTACTTCCTGAGGAAAGCCTCCAGGAGATCAGAGCAGAAATCTGCTAGCAGTCATCAAGAAAACAGGGAGGACTTCAGCCTCACAAGTTAAGGAACTAAATTCTGCTAACAGCTTAGAAGAGGACCGTTCACCTACAGCTGTGGTTGCTGATTCTAAGCAGAGGATCATCTAACCCCTGACTATGGCAAACGAAACTTATGTTTTAAGGTTTTTTTTACACACCAATAAGGTAATATAGCAATTGAATTTATCTTAAATGAAGTAAATAAGGAGACTAAAAATAGTCTCCATAACCTATTAGATAATATCATGCTCTTAACATGTATGTAATTGGAATTCCAGACTGTTTCTGGAAGGAAGGGGTAGGGCAGAAAGATTTTTTTTTTAAGAAATAAAGACAAAGTTTGTTTAGATCTGACAGACAGCTCTAAAACTTTTAGCAAACCCCAAGCAGTATACAAATATGTGGGCACACATTCGAGGTTTATCATAATCAGATTACCAAAAATCAGTGACTAGGCATGGTGACATGTAATTCCAGCTACTTGGGGGCAAAGATTGGGCAAAAGTGAGACCTTGCCTGAAAAATATCAAAAAAGGGTTGGAAGGGTTGGGGATGTGGCTCAAGCACTCGAGCACCTGCTTCTCGGCTTCTAAGCATGAGGCCCTGAGTTCAAACCCCAGTGCTGTCAAGGAAAAAAAAAAGGAAAAATCAGCAATAAAAGGAGCAATCTTTAAAAGCAGCTAGAGAAGAAAAAGGTCACAGAGGAACAAAGGCAGGAAATTGGAAGACTTTTCATATAAAACTACATGAAACAAGACAGAGGCAGTGAAGCCTTGAGGGCAGCCATGGCTTCAGTAGGTACAGAGAACACACCCACTTGCTGGTGGTGGTGGTGAACCTGGGGCACTGTGTTTTGTGGATGAGGCTCTGTTCTCAACCTGAATGCATCTGGCTTGTGGGTTTTGCTTAAGGGCCTGGCTGCTGTCCAGTCTTCCTGGTTCCTTGTTTGATTTTAAACTGTACCTTCTAGGTATCTATTAGATGTACCCAGATAGGCTTTAATATATTTTCTTTCTACTTGGGTCAGGAAACTAAGAACAATTAAAAACAGGAAACATTTTAAATTTATTTTCTATTCTAATCTTACTTTTTATCACCATTTCAACATAGTGGAGTCAATAAGGCATTATAGCTCCCTCCTTTGCTCAAATTTAAACAAACAGTTCTTAAAGTTTCCCTTCAAAACCCCTTTCCCAGGCTAGTGATACAGCTCAGTGGTAGAGCACTTGCCTAACATGCCCATGTCCCTGGGTTCAATCCCTGGTGGTGGTAGGGGGAAACCTCTTTCCTATCCATGCTTTTCCTCACCATTTCCATGCTTGAATCATTCAACTCCCCATCTCCAAATTCATTTATAAAGCCTTACACACTCTAATATGACTATATTATTCTGAAAGCAGGGATGTTAAGGAGAGAACTGAGTTTAAATGAGGTCAAAGGAATATGTCCCTAGTCTGATAGAACTGGTGTTCTACAAGAAGAGGAAGAGATCAGAGAGAGCTTCATTCCCAAGCACTCACAGAGGAAAGAGCCATGGGAGGCTACAGTGAGTAGGCAGTTGTGTGTAAGACAGAAGAAAGCTCTCATCAGGAACCAAACTTGCTAGCACCTTGATCTTGGACTTTCAGCTGCCAAAACTATGAGAACATAAATTTCTGTTGTTCACACCACCCACTCTGTGGCATTTTTCAAAAATGGTAGCCCTAGCTCACCAACACAACCACTGATAATCAGAAGGTAGCTAGAATACAGCCCTCAGATTTAGGGAAATGGATTCTTAAAATCCATGAACCTTAAAGAGCTGAGATGTGGAGATATTTGCAGGAACTTGGCTTGAAACTTTAGTTTCACAACATATAAAGGACACTGACCTCCACTTACTTTATTCAAATTTCTACACTTATGTTTGCATGGCCCTGTGGATCCATTCCTGTGACCTTAAGGGTGTCTCAGCAGTCCAACCCTCTGCCAGAATCTCGGGATCTTCAGTATTGTCCACAAGAAATGAAATTAACTTATAATTTTGTGACTGCACCAACTTTAGTTAAGACTAGAAACTAAGGAAGGAAACGATAACCCACACATCACAGGCTTCTGCCTAACTGGCTTTCCCTTTGATACTGCACTGCTTCCAAAGCTAGTAATTTCCTGTGATACCCCCACCCCCATGATCATCTGAGATATAAACTCTAGCTTCCCTTCCCCTTGCTGGGCCTATTTCACTTCTTCACCCCCTAAAATGTTCTACTGAATAAACATTTTTCCATCTCCCCACACAGACATCTAACCTTGCCACTCCCTTTTTGAAAATCCTTTGTCATCTCTTTTTCCTCAAAAAACTAGAGATAGAACTGCCATATGATCCAGTGATACTGCTCCTAGGCATCTACCCCAAAGAACGTAAAACAGGATGCAGTAGAGATACCTGTACACTGATGTTCATCGCAGCACTATTCACAATAGCTGAGCTCTGGAAACAACCCAGATGCCCTACGACTGATGAATGATCATGAAATCATGGTATATATATATACACAATGGAGTATTACTCAGCCACAAGGAGTAATGACATGGGGTTTCGAGTTAAACGGATGCAACTGGAGGACATCATGTTAAGTGAAGTTAGCCAGGACCAGAAACACAACAGACGCATGCTTTCATTGTTTTCTCATACATGGAAGATAGATCCAAAGATGAACATATACACAAAAACAAGCATGACCATATACAAACACAGATGTAGGACAAGTTTGTAACAATGTAACTACTCTATGGAACTCTGGGGGAGAGAAAAGAGAATGATAGAGCATCAGTAATATGGCATACCACAAGATGTTGAAAAATGGGGGTGAGAGGTAAAGGGGTAAGAGAGTATTCTAAGGTATTGAACAGACCAAAGTAAAGCAACCCACAAAGGGCATACATTGAGACACCCCTCTGAATGACAACTCAAATATTATGAAAACCACAACTAAAACAGGGACTCTGTGTGTGTGTGGGGGGGTATTGGTGGGTGGGGAGGGTGAAGGAAGGAGATTAAGGTGATGGTATATGGCAGGTGGACTTCATATACCTATATGAGAAAGAACTAGAAAACCTCCTGCAATTGCTTTAAGTGGGGTGGGGAGGGGTTAAGGGGGAGAGATGATGGGGGCGATGTCACTAATGTACAACATAAGTCTAACTGGAATTGTCACTATGAACCCCTTGCCTCGTGTCATGAATACATCCTAATAAAAATTTATATAAAAAATACTTTGTTATCTCCTGATTGACTATATTCGGACGGGACTTCAGTGCAGCATCCCAGGACCACTGCGGTTTTCCTTCTCCATCTTCCAACAGACATCCACAAGTGAAGCCCTGTAGACCACCCTTAACCCCACTGGGCAGGGTAGTTACTCTGTCCTGTACCTAGGTGCCTGGCCCAAGGTGCCAACTGCTACTTCTGCCTACTTCCTTGCTGGTCTGTGTAGGTCAGCCCTCCTCTCTCTTAGGTCCCCTCTACGGTTCTCTCCAATATTTTGGAGTGCCTGGCAAAAAGTAGGTATACAATAATTTTGTGATGCACAAATATATAAAGAAGTGAACAAATAAACATTCATGCTTGAATCTTCCAAGGAATCTTAATGTTTAGAAGATAAAGCCCCAAATGTGAAGCCTGATATAAAGGGTCCTCCAGAATCTCTGCAAGCCTCCATCATCATCCCTCGGTATCTGCAGGACTTCTGATGATGTCAAGTTGTGTAGATGCTTGAGTCTCTTCTATAAAATGGATATGTAGATGGGGGTGTGGCTCAAGTGACAGGAGTGCCTGTCTAACAAGCGTAAGGACGTGAATTTAAATCCCAGTACTATCAAAATAAAGTGGCTATATAACCTATGCACAGCCTTCATACATTGTAAATCATTTCTACATTATTTAAAATACCTAAGGTAAATGTTCTGTAAATAGTTGTTACACTGTATTCTAGCAACTACAGTCCCATACTGTATAATGTTTGGGTCAATCAGGACACTGATCCCACAGGATCATAATGGAGCTGAACAAGTCCTAGCATTTAGTTACATCGTAGCTGTCACAGTATCATGACACATTAATGCTTGTGGTGATGCTGCTGTACGCAAACAGACTGTACTGAGAGTGTACAGTTATATACGGTACATATTTGATAATGATAATACATGACTATGTTACTGGTTATGTATTCTTTTCTTTTTACCATTTTTTACAATATACTCCTATTCATAAAAAAAGTTAACTAAAACAATGCCATGTTACGTAAGCAGCAGACTGTACGTCTCGTGCTTACTAAGTGTGACTGCATCATTTTCTCCTGTGCTTAACTTAGTATCATGTTGTCTTGTTCATCATGGCTGGCCCTAGGAGCAATTACTCCTCCTCCACACATATTCACTATACAGTATACATAAATATATACATACATATAAATTATATCACCTAGGTTTGCTATGAGGTTCATAGAACAATAAAACTGGGTAAGAAAACATTTTTTGTTGTTGTTATTGTTGGTTCTGGGGTTTGAACTCTGGGCTTCATGCTTGTGAGGCAGGTGCTCTACCACTTGGACACACCTTCAGCACTTTTCATGCTGGTTATTTTTGGAGACAGGGTGTCGCTTTTTGCCCAAGATGGCCTGGACCATGATCCTATTACAGGCTTCTGCCATAACCAGGATGACCATACCCAGCCTTTTCCCATTGAGATGGGGCTTCACAAACTTTTTTGCCCTGGCTGACCTGGAACCGTGATCCTCCCAATTTTAGCTTTCCCACATAGCTTGGGATAACAGGTAAAGACTGCTGTGCCCAGCTATTGGTTGAGATGGAGTCTCGTGAAATTTTTTTGTGACATAGATTGGCCTCCAATTGTGATCCTCCTGATCTCAGCCTCCCAAGTAACTAGGACTATAGGCATGAGCCACTGGTTCCCAGCAAGAAAGCATTTCTTAGAAAGTATCCCCATTGTTAAGCGATTCTGGGCTTAATGACAAGAAGAAAATTCTGTGTGTGTTCAGTGCAGATACAACTGTCATAGGCCTAGCTACAGAGTACATATCCACAACAACGTAACTTTTTTTCAAATACTCTCCACTTGGTTGAATTCTCAGATAAGAACTGTGGATACAGAGGCGGCTGACTATACTTTCTGACCTCTCCCTGGATCCCACACCCCCAATTTCTCACACACCTTCAGCTCTTGTCAGACACATGGAAAGCAGACTCTGTATCCTTTTGGAAGCAATGGTTAAGAACAATGGGGAATGAGAAGGCAAGTCCTCGGACTTTACCTGAGGAAGTGCTACAGGTTTCGAGCAGTTTTTCTTTTTTGATCTCTTTCCACCTGAAAGGAAGCAGACCATCTATAAACTCACAGGCCTCTTTCAAAAAAGGCAATAATGCAAGGCAGTGGTCAGAAGAGAAACCATTACCCTGTCAAATTCTCACATGAACAGAATGTTGGGCTTCATGCCTTTTAAAGGATATGTCAGAAGTCAAATGATGGGGTCTAAACAACCATGGCCTCCTCTAACTAACATTCTTCCAGGATGTTCCATTCCTCTTCTACCTTAAAAAATCCTGTAGTGTTTGCCCTGCAAGGATTCTCAAGTGTTACTTGGACAGATAAAAAGAGTATGTTCCAAAAGGAGGTAGTGATTTTCCTAGGGTCACCCAACAACTAAAGAGCAAAGCCAGTGCTAAAACAGAACAGTCTTCCTGTTCTGTGCACTTGCTCTTTGCACAGAACTCTGCTCTACAGCTCATGGCAGGTTGGCAGAGTAGGTATTTGTTCTGGATACTCTTTAATCTTGTGCTCTCCCACCTGCTCCACACTGAATCCACAGTAACCAACTTCATTATGCTCCAGTGAGAGTTCGTATCCCGAAAATGTAGTCTTGTGTTGGGAAGGAGGAGGGAGTGTGAGGAGCTACAGGCGGCATCAGAAGAAATGAAAGGTTTGAATTATAACCCTGTCTTGCATATGAGATTATAGGAAAAGTATAAATGCTTTTGTTTTTATTTTCTCAAATCTCTGTACAAACCCATTTGTTATTTGTATTTTGGGAAATTCACGTAAAATTATAAAAAACTTACCAGTGAAAACAAAATACGGCAGCAATGAAAACTGCAGAAACAAAATCCATAAGAAGCCATATGACCATGTAGTATCCTGGTGTCTGCAAAAGCATAAAATGAACCACAGTTAAAGAACTGTATAGCTGGAAGGAGTCTTAGCTCATATGGACCAAGTCCCTAGCTCTGTTAGCCAGGCTAGAGTAGGAGAGGAAGGGGGGACAGATCAGGTGAAGGACCCTTGACTGAGGTGGCAGTCTCAAACACAGATCACTGCTAGCTATCCTAACAGTCACTGTCACACATGAAGGGGTTCTACAAGGGACAAAATGCTCCATACACACCAATTCCCTTGATCTTCAAGGCTGAGGTCACAAGTCACAAGTTCATTCTGGACCTAGCCCAGGTTCTATGTTTTCACAAGATGGCTTCCCAAACCTGGTTGCACAGCCAGACGTTCCTGAGCAGCTTTTAATAATACAGCTTTCTGCATCCAGACATGAGGGATCAAAACCCTCATCTTTAGCACACACTGCATGAGGGCTAAAGCAGCTAATCTGCTGCCATCATTTGGGAGCAGCTGCCTGAACATTATTCTTCAATTAACTAGGTTAAGCTATGATGCCATCTGGCCCACATGCCCACTCCACATGCTTTTCCTAAACCACTCATTCCATGGTGCTCTGCGTCCTGCACCTGCACAAATGAGGTTCTTAACTCCCTAGTTTGACCCTTCCTTTCCACCTGCCTTGCTCCCCTTCCAATTTTACTTGGTGCTACTGGGGCTGGTGCTATTTCTTCTTTCTCAGGCCATTCTCCACCCTATCCCAAGGTCTCTGCTGTAATGGTATTAATAATAATAACTAATGATCATATCAACGATAACAGCAACTAACAATATCTACTAGGAGCTGGGCAAGTTCTAAGAATTTTAGGGGCATTTTCACATTTAGTTCTTACAATAGCCCCTACTGGGTATGTACATCAGTAAACTGAGGCTCTTAATCCCCTCTGGGAAACAGACTGACTGACGCCTTATCTGCTGATTGCTCCAGGATGCCCACCAGGATAAACTGAATATTCTCCAAGAATCAAACTAGTTCAACTTTATTATTATAATTGTGCAATGTAATTAAATGTAGCTCAAATATTTAAAATATGAGTGAAAAGTGTGTCACTTTCAAAAAAGCTAAGTCAAATGTGTTGAAAAACTCAATGAGGACAAAATGAGTCATTAAAAAGTAAAGTGCAATTAAATTAGGTGTGGGTGTGACACTAAGAGATTAAGGCAGGGACTACAGGAATCCAGGTAGAATCCCCATTCAGAATGTTTCTCCTAATGACACATTCTTGTCCCGCTTTAAAGAAACAAAAATTAGAAATCATAGCTAGTTAAATAGGCAAGAGAACATAGAACTCATAAACTATCCTCAAAGAAAAGACTTTGTCTCTGTCAAAAGGTGAATGAATATTAAACTAAAATGTGTGAGGTATGTATGTTACATACTGTTTACAAAAATGACCACAAAGATGAAATCCCAGAACTTGGGGGGAGCGGGTCCTGAGGCAGGAGGATTATGAGTTTGAAGGCATCTTGGGCTACCTGGAGAGTCCAGACCAACCTGGGCTACATAAGGGTGACTCTGATTCAAAAACAACAAAAATAAATCTGGTGTGGTGGCTCACGCCAATAATCCCAGGTATGTGGAGGGATAGGTAGGAGGATCATGGCCCAAGGCCAGCCCCAGACCAAAAGTGCAAAACCCTATCTGAGAAATACACAAAGCAAAAAAAAAAAAAAAAAAAAAAAAAAAAAAGCACAAGATTTCCAACCTAAATGTGGGCGAACCCCTATACAATGTGACTGAGCTGTGCCCTCACCCCCATACCCCCATAAAGAGGTAAAGTCTACTTTTCCCACACCTTGAATCTAGGCTTGGCCATGTGATTTTCTTTGGCCAAGTAGACATTATCAAGTAGCACTGAGACCATGAAAAGCATATGCATCAGGACTTGCCCTCTTTTGTTGCAGGGAACACATCATCACCAGGGGACACACTCAGCTAGCCTCCTTGAAGATGGATGACCACAGGAAGAGACCCAGGTCATCCTGGGTGAGACTGGACAAAAGAGTGAGTCCATCCTAGGTTGTTCAGCCCAGTCAAGGGATCTTGGGACAGAGGAACACTTTGATGTCCATAGAACATGAGACCTAATAAAAATCTGTTTTCAGACACTAATTTTTAGGGGTTTTGTTTTTGTTGTTGTTACTGGGTTTTTGTTTATTTTGGTTTTGTTTTACTGGAGTTTGAACTCAGGGTCTCATGCTTTCTAGGCAAGTGCTCTACCACTTTAGCCAAGCCCCCAGACCAGGAATGGAAGGGAGTTTGTTTTTTTAGAAAAACTTGTATCCTTTTGTACTTTTTGAGCTTTGAATCATATGAATTTATTATCAGTTCAAATAGTGAACTGAAAAATGCTTTCAGATATAGCAGCATCATTTAAATAAAAGGGACAACCTTGGGACATTAATGATTCAGAAACACAGGAATATGGAGGTTATACTGCTTTCTAAATTATACATTTTCATATCATTGCACTTTATATAATAAAAAAGTTTACTTTTATAATTAATTTTTGGTCTGGATGTGTGGCTCAAGTGGTAGAGCACCTGCTTTTAAGTGTGACATCCTGAGTTCAGATCCCAGTCCCACCAAAAAAAGAAAACAAAGAATTTTTTTAAGAAACTAAAAATGTCAGTTGGGTTGGGGATGTAGCTCTGTGGTTGTGTTTGCGTGGTTAAGTGTTTGATCCCCGTACCAAAACAAAAGGTAGAAAAGAGTTGTACGGTGTATAGGGAGAGGCAGGTGGAAAGGATTCATCTGTGCTAGGGACCTGCCATCCAAGGCACCCTTCACTGTTACCTCTAAAAAGCTGTTCAAGTCACCAGGGAAAGGAAAAGGCCAGTAAGTTCATTCACATTTGTACCACAATGCTTTCATGCAGTGCTGGCCCTATAAGACTGTGTTCTTAACCCTAATCTCCCATCTCCTGGTCTAGACCTGAACAGGTCAGAAACAGGGACCACGGAGGATGGAGGTATGAAGAAGGCAACCAAATACCCTTCCCCACTTATGTTTTTCTGCCTAGAGATTAAACTGTTTTCTAACTGCTTGTGGTGGTATGTGCCTGGAGTCCCAGGTACCTGGTAAAAGGCAAATGATTTATAAAATCTGAAAACAAACCAAAGTATAATCCCAGTTACTTGGGAGGCTGAGGTGGGAAGATTGCTTGAGCCCAGGAGTTTGAGGCCAGTCCAGGCAACACAGCCAAGACTTCATTTCAAAAAAACAAAAAAATGGTGGAAGGGAGGTGGCCCAAGCAATGTATATACATGTGAGTAAATGTAAAAACATTAAAATAAAAAAAGAATAAAAAAAAGACAGATAAATTGAAAAGAAATAAAGTGAATTCCAATAACAACAACAACAAAAACCTACAAAACGGTTTTCTGTTGCGTGCCACTGTGTCCCACTCAGTCTACCTACTCTCTATATGGATAAACACACACTCCATGCAGAGCCTGGTAGGCAAGGCTCCCTCCACAGGTAGTAAGTGATGGGATTTAACTGGGATTATAAACCAGGTCTTTGGGTCCCCAAGCCTCTGGCAGTGAGGAAAAAAAGGGCCAGAATAGGAAACCAGGTTAGGCAGCTGGACACTGTCATCCCTTCAAGAGCATTTTGCTCAGGAGACACAGTTTTCACACTGGCATTAAGCATGCTTGGTTTTCTTCTCTTGTTGCTATACTCTTAAGAAGGTGGAGCTGTTAACAGCAAACCCTGCAGCCAGACCTCATTCTGAATCTCACATCATGAGGCCATGTGCAAAGATATCTCTGAGCCTCAGTTTCCTCATGGGTAACAGTAAGAGTGGCCAGTTTGGAAGGTTACATTACATATTACATGTAAAATACATGTAAGGATTCAATAAATGAAAACCACAAAAGGCTGTAGGGAAAAGAAAGGAGGATATCTCATCTCCAGCATTAGCAGCTATCTCTGCTCCTAAGTTCCCAGGGAGCACAGTGGCAGCACAGCAGGGGAGTGGGGACAGAGACCACGGGGCTTAGAAGAACACTGTGGACACTCAGCTCACCATGAAGAAGTAAGGGTAAGTCAGCTGACTCAGGAGCGGAATGTTGTCTGTGGTCACTGAGTTAATCCTGGAGCACCAGGCCAGTGAGAAGAGCCAAGGCTCATTGACAATATACAAGTTGACGGTGATGTTGGCAGCTTTATAATCTCTGCAACAGAACAGAACCACAGTGGACTGAGAGGCAGCATCCTCCTCCATAGCCACTATGGCTTCAGAAGGCTGCTCCTAAATCACAGCTGACCCAGGCAGAACTTGGGACTCACAGTGACAGAAAGAATAGGCTCATGCAATGAGACAGAGGGTTGGATCTAGCAGCTCTGTTCCTGCAGCAACAGTGAAGTGCTAGTGAACTAGATGTCCTGAGGGGAACTTAACTAAAGAACAAAACAAAGAAAAGAGAAAAGAGAAAGAATGGGGGAGCAAAAAAGGAGAAAGGAAGGAAAAGGAAAGCCCATGTGCAGCATGTGCAAACTTCCATGGTGTAAACACTCTGATCACAGCCAATTTCAAACTGCTGCTGGGAGAACCAATTTGAGAAATCCCTGGTTCTTTGACAGCTGGCCCTGCAAGCTGGTATAAGCTGGCTCTGCACACTAGTTGGTAACACCTGTCCCTTCTTGCATTCTACCACTTTCCACCCCACTCTAACAATCTGTTCACATATCCCTTTTTTACCTGACTGTAATGTAAGCAAGATAAAGCAGAAACCATGTCTCATTCATCTCTGTTCATCTAGACCTACCATCATATCTGACTCTATAAATATGTTGAAGGAATAAAATAAATACCAATCTGGTAAACATTTAAAATTTCAAGTATAAAGAATCTTTGTAAGAACTGGGTAGAGGAAATACAACCCAATATTTCCAAATGCTTGAAATGCCAGTTAATACTTCCATAGAGATAGGAAGTTTTCATCTTCTTTTTGGAGAAAACACCCCATGTAAGTGCCTTCAGAATGTTTTTAACCCTGATATGGCATGTCATACTGGGAACCGCTCTGAATAAGCCTGCTTATGAATCCCAGCTCTGCCATATTCTAGTGTGACAAGTGCTTAGCTTTAGTATATAAACTTAAAATAAGAATAATAACACCTCCTTTGCAGGAAGCGCTGGCAATTACTCAATCTGTAAGAACTGTCTCTAAGACAATTCTACAGATCAGCTAAAGATAAATTTAAAAAAAGAAATTAGGTAACAGAAGTAAAAAGTTACTTCTTTGTATTTTTTGAAACCAAAACTAAAAAACTAACCATATTTCTATATATTAGTAAGGAATATGTAGAAACTGAAATTAAAAACATAATACAATTAACAATCACTTCAAAGAAAACGAAATGCTTAGGTATAAATTTAAGAAAACAAATATAGAATCTTATGCTGAATATTTCAAATACTGATAAAAGTAACCAAAGAAGACTTAAATAAATGAAGAGACATGTTTATGGGTTGAATATTCAACATAGAAAAGCTGCCAATTGTTTCCAAACTGATCTGTAAGTTTAATGCCAGTCCTATAAAAGCCTCAGCAACGTTTTTGTACAATTAGATCAGCTGATTCTAAAATAAAAATGGAACAGCATGGTCCCAGAAAAACTAACTTTTGAAAAAGGTAACATGAAAGGAAATCACTCTACTTGATATTGAGGTTTACTGAATAGCTATGATAAAGACAGCACAGTATTGAAGGACAGACACATAAATTAATGTGTCTAGAACAGAAACCCCAGAAAGACTTATATAAACATGCCCAAATAATGTTTGACAAGGTGTAAAAGCAATCCAATGGAAGAAGAGGTTTTTTTTTCAACAAATGGTATTGAAGAATTGAATGGCCATAGGCACCCTCCCCAAAGAGTCTAGAAATTTCAACCTAAACCTCGCACTATGTGTAAAAATGAACTCAAAATGGATCACAGACTGAATGTATAATGGAAAAATATGAAGCTTTTAGGAATAAACCAGAAAATTTGAGACCAAGGGATAAGCAAATAGTTTTTAGATTGGAACTTCTTTAAAGCATGATCCTTCAAAGGGAAAACTGGTAAGTTGGACCCTTTTGGAATTTAAAAAAAAACAAAAAACTCTTGCTATGTGGAAGACCCTGTTAAGAAGATGCTCCACATGAGCTAAAGACTAGGAGAAAATATTTGCAAACCATATATCCACAAAGGACTAGTATACAGAAGGTATAAAGAACATCAAAATTCAATGATGAAGGAAAACATACCTTAACCAAGAGTATAAATCATTGGCAAAAAGTACATAAAATGTTCAACATAACCAGCCATTAGAAAATACAAATTTTAATGATGATGGAATCACTAGACAACGATCAGACTGGCTAAAAGGAAAAACAATGACAAAAACCCAAAATGGCAAAAGTGTAGAGACTCTGGATCATTATATGTTGCTGGCAGGAATGTAAAGTGGTATAGCTTCTCTGAAAAAGTCTGACAGTTTCTTATAAAATTAAACATGTAATTACCATATCCCTACAATAGCACTCTGGGGCAATTTTTTCCAGAGAAATAAAAATTTCTGTTCACATAAAAACCTATATATAGAAGCTCATAATGGTTTTATCTGTAATATCTCTTAGATAGAAACAATCAGATATCCTTAAGTTGGTGAAAATTAAACAAACCTTGGTATATTCATACCATAGAATACTACTCAGCAATAAAAAGAGACAAACTATTATAAATGAAACAACTGGATGAATCTCAAAGACTCATACTAAATGAAAAACAAGCCAGTCTCAAAAGGTTACATACTGTATGAGTCTATTCATTCTTAAAATATCAAAATTACAGAAATTTTACCAGGGGCTAGGGTTTGAGTAATTATCAGAAGTAAGAGTTGGAGGCAGGGGGGAGAAGAAGGAAGGAAATAGAGTGTGGTTATCAAAGATCAACAGAAAGACACCTGTGCTGATGGTACTGGTCTGTATCTTAGATGTGGTTCTGAATCCACAAACCTACATATATGATGAAACTGCAGAGAACTACATAAAAACACACAGATGCATGTATCCATACACATACAGAGACATGTATTATGACCACTGATTTTTTATGGTACTGGGGATTGAACCCAGGACTTCAAACATGCAAAGCAAGCAATCTATCACTTGAACCATGTCCCCAGCCCTTCTGTTGGTTTTTTTTTTTTTGAGATAGGGTCTCGCTAACTTTGCCCAGGTTGGTCTTGAACTTTTGATCCTCCAGTTTCTGTACATTGTTGGTGGAAATGTGTATTAGTACAGCTATTATGGATAATAGGATGGAGGTTCCTTAAAAACTAAACACAGAATTGCCATATGATCCATCATTCCCAAGAAACAAAATCAATCTGAAAGAAACCAAATCAACATGTCAAAGAGTTACCTGCACTCTACCTTCATTACACCTTTATTCACAATGCCAAGACATGGAATCAATTCAGGAGCCCATCAATGGATGTGTGTATTAAGAAAATATGTGTATGTATGTATGTACATACACACATATATACAGTGGAATACTCTTTAGTCTTTAAAAAGAAGGAAATTCTGTATTTACAATAATATGGATGAATCTACATGAAATAAGCCAGGCACAGAAAGATAAATACTGTATAATCTCATTTACATATGGGATCTTAAAAAGTCAACCTTATAGAAGCATAGCATATAATGATAGAGACTGGGGGTGAGAAAAAGGAGAGATATTGGTCAAATGCTATGAAGTTTCAGTTAGACAGAAGAAATAAGTTTTTGAGACTTACTGAATAGCAGGGTGACTATACCCAATAATAAAGCATTGTATACTTTAAAATGGCTGAGAGTAAATTCCAAATGTCATAATACAAAAACTGTAAGTGAAGTAATGGATATACTAATTTGGATTAATCATTCCACATCATATACATATATCAAAACATCACATTGTACCCTATAAATGTATACAACTGTGATCTGCCAATTAAAACAATATTAATTTAAAATTTTCTTAAAAACATTTAAAAAGCTGGGTGTGGTGGTATGTGCTTATGATCCTGGCACTCTAGAGGCAGAGAAAGGAGGAGTATGAGTTTGAGGCCAGCTTAGGCTACATTTGCTCTCCTCTGCAAAAGGGAAATGATAAATCCAGTGCACAAAATGGGATGGTGATAATGAATGAAGCAGCTAACACTTAGCATTTTACAGATTTGGCCAGCATTTTGTTGAATACATAATATGATCATCTTTAATCTTTTTACTATTTCAGTAGGAACCACTGATATACTCATTTACAAGGGAGAAAACTATTAGAAACTTGTCCAAAGTTAAAACCAGGTGTGGTGGTACAAGCCTGTAATCCCAGCACTTAGGAGGCTGAAGCAGGAGTATCACAAGTTTGATGCCAGCCTGAAATAAATACACAGCAAGACCCTGTTGAAAAACAAAAACAACAATGGAGTCTTTACTCCCATTTCCTGCATGAGAAACAGAAAATGATCTCCCTGCCCCTACGAACGTCTCCTTACTTTTATCCTTTTACCAAAATGAACCCTTTATACTAAAATGAATCCTTACTAAAACTTAAAAAAAAAAAAAACTTGTTTAAAGTCACACATGTAGGCCAGGATTTAAAACACAGCCTGTAGTCTAACAAGCATAGCACTTGGCACATAATAAAGGCTCAATAAATAGAAGCTATTATCACTTTTTTCAACCTGGCCTAATAGATCAATATAAGTTATTAAGAGAGGGAAATCATCTTAGGGATGTTTTAGCTGGAAAAAAGTACAAGAAAATAGAAATATGCTCAAAATAGAGCAGTTGAACAAAGAGAAATCTTCTGATTGGGAAATAGAGAATAAAAATATCTATATAAATTTCCAATAGCCTGGCTTATTCCTTGGGATGCAGAAATATACACAGAATTTTTATGAGAGACTTTGGAGCTATACATATATACATCTCTATCCATCCAAGGAAGACCTCGTCTGTGAAGCATTTAGAGTTATCTGAAAAAAAATTATTCTTAAATCTCAGAGAAAGGTAATATGGATTAAATTACAAAGTGATTAGTAACAGTTAAGTTTGGAGAAGTGTTTTCATTTCTAGGTCCTTTTAATTCTGAAAATTTCCAACTGTATATTCATACATGTGGTGGTAAATAATTTAGTTGCTTCTCATGCTTGGCTATTTTAAGCCTTTTCAATAATGATTTAGATATATCCTTAATTATCACTATGAGAAACATGGCTATCTCGATCACAAAGCTATTTATGATGCAGTACAATCCATCTGGAAATGGCAAGAGGAAATAAACAAGTTTTTGAGTTGACTATTCAATGTCCACCTTATAGAAAAACAGAAATGTCAAACATACGAAAATATGTGGAATGGTGAGAAACTGAGCACAAAGGAGAAGGAGCTAAAGGGTCCATAATCTACACCTAATAAATGTAGGAAAGGAGGGAGGGGGAGGAAGGAGAAAGCAGAGAATTCAAAGAAGGTAACCAAACAAAGAAATTCTAAAGTGAGAAGGGAAGTTAAGCAGCTTAGGTGGAATGTATGCTTTGAAAATTTAAGGTGATATATGTCAAGAGAAGTGTGGCCAAACACTCACCTTAACCCATTGTAAAACAATCTCTTGTAGTCAACATTTATTATACTGATGTTTTCTTTTGTAAGGCGTTCAATGGAGAACAAACGGCCCACATGCTGAAAACCAGGAGCCATCCGCCTGACATAGTCCCTATCAAAACTTGGCAACCAAAAAATCTGTAAGGAGAAACAGGAAGTCCTTTAGTAGACTGTTAGCTCTCTAGGTACAAACACCCCACAGAGAATGAACGAAGCTCCATTCCAGCACTGGCAGTAGTCTATTGGAAGTAGAGAAAGATTCTAGCCCTTGTTGAAACAGTTAACCTGACCTAATATTGTTTAATGAACTCTTAAAACAAGAGTCTTCATCAAGATTGTTCTGGAACTGAGTTTTCCCAGTTCATATTATAGGTCATAGGGCCCACTGTGTACAGAAAGCATCATACCAAAATGTGGGTGAGGGTTAGGGATATAGCTAAGTAGTAGAGTGCTTGCTTAGCATGCTTAATATCCTGGATTTGATCACCAGTGCTGACTAAAAAAAAATGTGGATGAGTTGGTAGATATGGATGAGAGGTGGGACTCTTTGAACTTTGTAAATGTCACAATGTACCTCCAGTATAACAATAATATAGTAAAAATAAATAATTTAAAGTTTTCGAAATGTAAAAAAAAATGGAATCAAAAAAAAATCTCTGGTTGTTGATGCTAAAAATCATCTGTGACAGGGGTTATTGCTAAACAGGGGTGCTATTAAAACTCTTCTGTGGAAATAGGTCTATTTGAAGAAGATACCTGAGTCACTCATAGTACTCCCATATTCTGAGAATTAAAGTGATTTGGAACTGACTGCCCAAATGCAGAGAGTTGCTTCTGAAAAACAAGACAAGCACATCTTTGCTCAAATAAGAACCAGCTGTCTTTCTATATCATTCACCAAAGCTAAGTCCTCAAAGCCTTAGTCCTATGAAGACTCTTTCTAATAGATCTATATTGATGATAGTGCAGGTCATATCACATAGTTTTTATATACATTCTTCTTTAGCAGGGTGCTGATATTTCACCTGGTTTGGAGTAGTACACAATCTCAATGTTTTTCCCCACTGAGATAAATTTAACTGAGTCATTCTCAGATTACATGTAGCTGTATAAATAATAATCTCCATTTTCATAGGAAGCAAAATTACTTAAGGTTCCCAGGTAGGTCAAATTCAACTATTATGCTCCCGGGACATGCTACCCACCTCCCAACCTCTACGATAAATACTAAGATAGACATACCAGATGTTGCTCAATTTTAGAGTCAAGGATCACCCTTACTACTTGGCGGACATAGGTATTTCTGAGAGGATGTTTTGGTGGAGGGCCAAAAAGATCAAATATCACAAACTTCTTTTCCTTCTTTGCAAGTTTCAACAAATCATTAGTTGTGGAATTGACTGGTTGCTCGCTCTTTTTTTATCAACCTCTGATAAAGGTTTCATATTGAAATATGGTTTGCTCTAAAAACAAATACATCAAAGAAAACAATGATTCTCATAAAAAAGCAGATTTCAGTTCCCTTATTTTGAGGTCTCACCCCCAGCTCTATCTTCATATTGCTCCATTTTCATTCAATCAACTAGGACCTGTGAAATACTAGTTCTGAGATAAGAGTTACCAAGGAGAGAAATGAAATGGAATCTCCACTGGTAATTATGGTGTTGGAATGATTTCTTCTATATCTTAGAACATCTTGTATTCACAATGACAGTCCTTCATTCTTATCTTGACCTTCTTTCCAGCCTTTTGTTCTGTAACTCAAAGTAATACATCCCTTTTCAGTCACACTGTCTTCCTGAGCGTGCTCTCACAGTTCTAGTTTTATGTAATGCAGAACAAGTGTTTTGGCTTCACAATGAATTTGATTTGATACCAGTGCTAATTCTCCCTCATCTGCCTTCCTTGCCATAGCCACCTGCCGAAATCCTAACCTCAACTGTTCAAATGCTACTACCTCCTTCGTGAAGCTTTCCTTAAATATTCCTGAACTAAAGAGATCTTGGTGACACTGAGCACTGATAGCTCATTCTTATGCCTTGGTAAAGAGTATGTCTCATTCTGTCTTCTATAGTTATTTGTACATGTATTAGATGGACCAAAGTTCAAATCCTGACTTGATATACTTCTTGCTGTGCAACTTTGGTAAAATCATTGAAATTCTCAGTCTAAATTGCCCAAACTACAAAACGGGGGAGCGATAGGACAATCTATGTATTTCTTAGTATTATTTTGTAGATTAAATATGATAAAATATTTATAGAGTCTGACAGCATATCTAATACATAGAAAAGTACACAATTCATATTAGCTCCCTCACCCTATACTGAGTCTTGCTGGAATATAGCTCTCTCAAGGCAGGAGTTTCCTGTATGCTTTTCAATGTACGACACTTCAACTTTACACATAGCAGACATACATGTTTGCTATATTATAGTATATAGTATTATTACTTGTCAATTTTAGATAATTTGTGGGTGAAGGCAGTGATAAAAGGCTACCTCTTAGGAGAAGGAAGCAGTAGTACTTCACATTTTCTTAAGAGTCAAGTAACCTTTCTTTTTTTCTATACAACTTTTATTTTCCTTTCACTCCCCTCTTTGCATTTCTTTTCCTTTGCTTATCTTCCTAACTGCCCTTTCTCACAGTATGATTGTGCACAGTTGTTGTGTACATCCATATTGTATAACATACCCATAAAATTGCTAGACCAGAAGGCAGAGCATAGAAGTTGAATGAAACCATGATTTAGATCTGAGTTGAGCACAATTTAGGGTTTTTGTAATTCTCAAGAACATAGATTCTTGCTTCAGAATTCAAGATTTTGTTAGATACTTCCAGATCCAGACCAAATGGTTCACTGAATTGTGAGGAAAACTGTTAAAATAATAGAACAGAAAGACCAAGAAAGGAAAAAAATTGAAATGGCAAAAGCAGTGAAGATTTATGACAGCAGAGCTTAAAACTCGACTTGGGAGAGCTTTAAATGACATTATGACGTAGGGTGTAGATCTAACAGTTGAAGTAACAAAGGTTCTTTTTTGTATATAAAATAGGGGACTTAGCCAGAAAAATGAACCAGAATGGGAACAATGTCTGCCAACACATGGCTGAACAATTTTCAAAAAGCCCTTGGAAGTAACAAGCTAGAAATGAAACAAACTTCTAATTCTCCTGATAAAGCACCTAGTACCTCAAATAAAAAATAAGACTAAAAGGTTCTCTGTTCTCTATGCTTCTGGCTTAAGAGTTATTATAAGTAGAAGGGTCACAGGAAGAACTAATATATCATATTGGTTAGGAAATAGAACAATTATCTAAAATGTATCCAATGATACTACATCAAGGGAAACATTCTAATAAGAACTATCTGTAAGTATAGAAGAATAGCAATAGTAATAATTTTCTTATTGAACCAGGTGCCATTAATCCACCATTAATCCCATTACCATAAAATAATCAGATTGCTAAGAATATCAAAACCATTCAAGTAATGGGGATTTCTAAACAATCCTAAATCCTTTTCCATGTCCCAACATAAAATTTACTTTGAAACCATTGTCAGAAAAGTATTCCTTTCTCCTCTATGGGATTTTCCTTACGAATTTAAATGTTAGGAATCTACTTTGCAAAAGAACTACTGGAAGAAATGTATAACAGACAATTAAGTAATTTTTAGAAGCCTCAGAAAATTCTACTGCACATTATCAAATTATAACAGGTATAGACATCAGTATAGTGATTCAAAGAATAACCATATAGACTTCTGGTTTCCTGTTTCATATGGAATGAACTTGGAAGATGTCACTTTTTCTAAACAATAAGTAAAGTTGAATAGACTGAAAACTCAACAACTGTTCTTGGAGTGACACAAGCCACTGCCCATAAGATTTAGCAGACAGGAAAAAAAGGCAGTTGTAGCTTACTAGAATGAGACTCAGGAATAGAAAACATTAAGGGAACTAGTGTTGGGGTAGGGAAATTGAAAGAAATTAAATTGCCAAGGCTCTAGGAGAACAGACCTGACAATTATAAACTCCAGAAGCCCCCACACTTCTTTGAGTTTTAGCTCCACAAGCTTAATCAGGTTCTCACAAATATGGGGCGAAAAACCTTCTCATGCCTCTATAAAAGGAGAATGGAAAGGAAAACATTTTTAAATATCTCAGAGCACTCTGCTTCTTAACAAGGTCTTCTCATATGATAATCTATTTAACCAGAGCCTGACCTGCTGGGATTTTGTCAGACCCTAACATGATAGCAGGAAGGGAAATACCCAATTCCAGTCCTCTTTAGCTATTCTTTTCCATCAAAGGGGCTTGGGCATGGGGAAACTTAAAAGCATGTGTGCTCAGGCTCACTAAAAGACTGAATTTGGGAGGTTGAGGCAGGAGGATTGCGAATTTGAGGTCTGGGCTAAACAGTGAGACCCTGGGAGAAGGAGAAGGAGAAGGAGGAGAAGGGTGAAGAGGAAGAGGAAAAGGAGAAGGAGAAGAAGGGGGAGGAGGAGAAGAAGGAGAAGAAGGGAGAGGAGAAGAAGAAGAAGAAGGGAGAGGAGGAGAAGGAGGAGGAGGAGAAGAAGGGGAGGAGGAGAAGGAGAAGCAGCAGCAGAAGAGAAGGAGGAGAAAATACAATCATGGCTACAGAACAGTTCCTTTTCCTATATGCCTAGCCACCACATTATCAAACACCTACTTATAGCAGTTCTTTTTACCTGATGTATCATAACCAGCTATCAAGAAAATTTACAAGGTATACTAAAATGCAAAAAACATAATGTAAGAATACAGACCAAGCAGCCAGAACCAAATGTGACAGAGATGTGATAATTATCAGAGAATTTAAAACAACAATGAATAATATGTGAAGGGCTTTAACAGACAAAAGTAGATAGCATAAAAAAGATGTAAGCAGAGACAGAAATCCTATGTAAGAATCAAAAAGAAATACTACAGATTAAAAAAAAATTAACAACAATGAAGAATGCTTTTGAAGGGCTCATTAGTAGGGTGGATATGCTGAGGAAAGAATCTCTGAGCTTGAAGTTCTACTAATATAAACTTCCATGACTGAAAAGCAAAAGGGAATAAAGACTGAAAAAAAATGAGAACAGAACATTAAAAGACTGTGTGGCAACTATACAAGGTAAAGATATCTGCACTCCCATTTTCTTTACAGTCTTATTCATGAAAGCCAAAAAAGGAATAAATCTGTGTCCATCAATGAGAGAATATTCACACAATGGAATACTCTTTAGCCTTTAAAAAGAGGAAAATCTGTCATTTGAGACAACATGAATGAACTTGGAGGATGTTATGCTAAGTGAAATAAGCCTGGTATAGGACAAACACCACATGATTTCATTTTTGTGTAGAATCTAAAAAGTTAAACCAACAGAAACAGAAAAATAAAATAGTGGTTACTACAGAAATGTTGGTAGGAGGGTGGGGAGCTGTTGGTCAAAGGAGACAAAATTTTGGTTAGACAGGAGGAATAATCTGAAGAGATCTGTTTGCTACTTGATGACTACAGTTAATACAATTTATCACATACTTGAAATTGTTAATAGATTTTAAGTGCTGTCACCACAAAATTATAGGTATGTGAGATAACACATTTGGTAATTAGTTTGATTTATCCACTATACAATGCATACATATTTCCAAAAGCCTTCCAGTTGGGGCTGAGAAAGTAGCTCATTGATAGAGTGCTTGCCCAGCATACATGAAGCCCTGGGTTCGACTGTAGCTTGCAAAGCAAAACCAAACAAAGAAACCCCAGCCTGTTGAGCACTATAAATATACACAATTACTGACAGCTAAAAATTTAATAGTAACAGATTAGCTTGGATTTTTAATGAGATTGTACTGAAACTGGAAATAACACCTTAACAATACTGAATCTTTCAATGCATGAACACAATATATCTTTTCACTAATTTAGATCTTTGGGTTCTTTCTTTTGTAGTTTTCAGCATACAAACCCTCACAAATAAAGTTTTTTAGATTTATAGCCAAGTACTTGATCTTTAATGCTATTATACTGCTATTATTTTGTTAAGTTCAAATTCCAATTCTTCATTACTAGAATATAGGAATACACATAACTTTCTGTATCCCACAGCCTTGTTAAATTTACTTGTAGTTCTAGGAACTTTTTGTAACATATTATTTTGGAATTTCTACATAGATGTTCAGGCAGCTTGCTTTCTTCCCTTTAAATCTTTTTTTTTTTTTTTTGTGGGACTGAGCTTTGAATTCAAGGCTTTGTAATTGCAAAGCAGTGCTCAATCACTTAAATCACATCTCCATTCCATTCTGTTCTGATTATCTTGGAGATGGGTTCTTGTGAACTATTTACCCAAGCTGGCCTCAAGCCATCCATGATCCTCCTGATCTCAATTATGATTATAAACATGAGACACCCACAAGTGCCGTGCTTTCCTTTCAAATCTTAATAGATA